TGCGTAACATTCATGGACTCATCCATCTTGACTCATGATGGAGGGGCTGTTGTTGATTTAGCATCAAGGAAACAGCAGGGAAGGGCTCAACTAGTAGAAGCTAACAGTTAGCATTAGCAACTCCACCACACAGCATAGCTCCTCCCGGCTTGAGTTATGTGTGGAGATGAAGCATCCATGTTGCAGTGCAAACAGAGTCAGTGGTGGAGTCGTGTTGCTGTTGTCCAATCAGAGGAGAGATGCCCAAATATCAGGAAATAAGACATCAAATCCTGCCGTGCTCTCCTCTGATGTGGCATTCAGCTACTTCCTGAAACAAGCACATGAGCTTTTTTCTCCTGAGTACAGCTTGCAAGGCATCAATTCCTCATAGAGACCATTGCAAATATAGTGATTAAATGAGTGTCCCACACCTTTAATGAACTAGTTACATTGTATTATATTGGTGTTGCAGTTTAAAAAAAGGTCTAAACATGAATGAAAATTGAGCTTTTAGCAGCAGATGCTAATATTAAATTCTAATTCTAATTCAAAGATACTTTATTAATCCCAGAGGGAAATTAGAGTTTCAGTACACACAATTCAGAGATCAGACATACATGGGCAAGACACATGACAAGAATTGGTGACTGTGGTCATTCGCAACCCTGAGTCGTGCTACCTTAATAGAGATCAGAGGGTTACATGAGGATTGGTTCAGGTGGAGGGAAAAAAGCACTTCAGAGTTACCCTCCACCAGGAGGGCAGCTTTGCTCTGCAAAAAAACACCTCAGACAGATATGCAACAGACTTCAGACAACACAACATGTGTCCACTAGGTGGGGTGGTGGGTTGGGACTATCCCCACTTCAGTTCCTGCAGCCACGATAAGCAGCGCATGTCACCTCAGTGTGGATAGGGGGAGGAGCATTGAGGGTTGGAGGGTTGCAGTGACCCTGGAACGATTTGGCGGCCTTCCCGCAGTCCCGCCCGGGCTGGGATAGGTGACAGAGTTGAGTTGCCATAGCGACGGCACATTCCACATATCTTCTGAGGGGGGAGTTTTCGTTGGAGCCTTGCAGGCTCAAGGGCACCAGATTCAGATTAGAAATTGTTTTGGGGCCAGACAGAGATAATTTCCTCTCTGTCTTACAGTTTGTTGGTCCTCAACCTCTCAAAATCCCAATAATGGACATTAATCTATCCCAATCCGTGCTGATTCGTCCACTCTATCCTTGATGGCATCCATCTTTTGTGCCAAAGAATGAATCTCGGCCAAAGTCCCAAGCTTACGATTCATCTCGACAATTATGTGAGTCTGTGAATTCACAGCGCGGTGCAAACCATCTCTGAGCTCCGGGATCAGGCCAATATTCCTCGACAGCTCGTTAATTTTCCGGTAAGCCAGGAAGCCTCCAAGGCCAAAGAGCAGGAAACCTGACACCAACACCACGAATATCCACACGTCTTCAGAATCCTCCACAGACAGCTGAGATAAACAAATCAAGTTCCACTGTTTCCAGGAGTCCATGAGGTGTCCAACTGGGTCTGTCCCGGCAGGACATCCGGGAGCCCCTTCTCCCGTTCTCATCGTTGAAAACATTTTATCAATCGCGTTGAGAGACCAGCTGACGAGATCCATTTTAGTGAATTTCTGTTTCCAGTTTCCAGAAAAATGCAGAAGCAGCCGTGCACCCAGAGACAGACAACGGCCTTGAGGATAAGCTATGGAGGAGAGGAGGAAAAAAGCGTCTGCACCCTCCGAGAGCCAGAAGAAGAGCATCCTAAAGTGCTGCAGAGCTGCAAAGTTTATATTTTTTTAATGGCTTATCGCTTTAATTTGCTGATAATCAAGTTTCCTAAAAGTACTTTAAGTGGAATATGTTTGGAAAGGAACTTTTGTCTTTAGAAATCTGATCGTTTACTTTCAGGATATTCCGAGGAGATAAGACCAGGCGGATCTCCAGACCGACTCTTACCAGATGATTCAATTTTACTTTATTTCTGCTTCTGTGTGTCTATCAGGCCTCATCCAGAGGGGAAATGGCTCCATGGAGAAGGAGCTGGAGGAACTTAGACGCAGTAGACCCAAACCACCTGTGGGTGGTGACTTCACCCTCAGCGACTGTTTCTATTTCACCAGAAGAGGGATCGAGAGCATTGTAGAGGATGAGGTGCGTTGTTCACTTAAGTTTTGCATTTTGTTAAATTCTGATGAATTAATATCATGTTTCTCCTCTTTCTAGGTGACCCAGCGGTTCACCTCTGAGGAGCTCGTCTCCTGGAACCTACTGACTCGCACCAACAATGATTTCCAGTACATAAGTCTGAAGCTGACTCTGGTCTACGGCCTTGGTATCGTGGTCAGATACTGCATCCTTGCTCCACTTAGGTAAACAGATACGGATTTTATTTAGTTTAATTGTTAAATGATAACATATTTAAAATTAAAGTGTGTGAGCCATTTGATTGGTTGGACCTCGGCTGGTTTCACTGGAGTTGCTTTTCAGGATGAAACCAGGTCAAAGGTCATATTGACCCATTATGGGCGAATCTTATATGATCTTTGCACTATTGGAAAAAAATAAATGCCTTAAAACTCAGACAATTCACTTTAAGGAAAAAAGGAAAGGTTGGAAAGTCGCTTCATTATTGTGTAAAAATAAAGAGTACTACACATTTTCCAGATTATGATAATTAGGACATTGGAACAAGCAAACTAGGCAATTATGACATTAGATGAACTTGGGCCACAAAAGCCTGCAACTTTAGCAAAAACCTGAATAAAATGTTGTAATGATGTAAAGTTAAGTAAGCAGCCTGCTCACTCTGCTGTAAAAACACTAATAATTATTTTATCAGCATCTTTCTACAAGCAAGCGTTGGTGTGGAGCTCTCAGCCAGGGGCGGATTTAGCTATTTGGCGGCCCAAGGCGAACACAGACATGGGGCCCCCTTACACTAAATTTTTGACAATCTTATCTTTAACTGGATTTGTAAAACTCTACCCTCTTCTGCTGTGAGTTATTTTTCCTTTTTTATTGGACCTCCAGTTTTTTCCTGTCTTTCCCTCTCTTTGAGTGCCTTCAATATTTGCTCTGCTTTCTTCTTCCTGTCAGTGCTCCTGTGCTTTTGCCTTTCCTTTTTTATTTTTCTATACTCCGTTTTGGTCTATGTTTTCCTCCCTTTAAAAATTTTCCATTGTCTTTCCTTTCCTGCTTCCTTATGATGTTTACATTGAAAAACGACGTCACTTTTGGAAGTGAAGATGAAAGCTTTTATGAAGCAAGCTGCTTCTTTCTCTTATTGGAGCCACCAGGATAACTCCATGTCATGCTTCATGTTTTGACTATTGCTTCGAGTTTGTTTCGAACGCTACTGTCTCTTCTTCTTCTGCTTTCTCTTCTTCTTCTTATTTGTGGTCTTATGGCACTTGGCAAAGAACAATTTGGTGCATTACTGCCACCAACTGGACTGGAGTGAAATGACCACCAATCCCTTCCTGTTTGTTCATTGAGTCTTAAAGGAATGGTCCATTGTGGCATTAGCAGAGGGGTGCTGGCAGTCAGGGCTAGGAGGCCCCCCAACATAAGGGGGCCCCAGGCGGCCTAATGGTCAAACCGCCACTGCTCTCAGGATTGGCCCAAATTTGCATCAGAACAGCAGACACAGTCTGGCTGAGAAGGAAATGAGTCTAGGTGTTGCAACATCTGAGTCAAAGTTCAGATCAGAACCTCGTCAGAGCAGTTTAAGCTCCGTGAGCTGATGGTCCTGGGCCCTAATTTCATGTGGGACACCGATAAGAACGTTTTTTGGGCACCTTTGTAACATCCAGTTACAGCTGTTATTTTCTAGGGTGGATTTCAGTATTTCTAACATTGTTTTTCATGTAATGGTTCAGATGTTTTAAATAATACTAAATAATAAATAATGTAAATAAAACCTGAGATAAACAAAATCACTTATGTTATATTTCTTTTAGTATAATCTATCATAAAAACACAACAATAGAATCAACTTTTGAACAATTTTTAAAATCAGTTTTGCTACATTTTCCATTGTTTGCCCAATCTTTTGCCTTCTGACTGCAACTGTTTTTCTTTTATACTTTAAATGCTTTAACAGATTGTGCTCTTCGCTCTCCAGGATAACGCTGGCCTGCATCGGTTTGAGCTGGTTGGTGATCGGAACATCAGCAGTTGGATTACTCCCGAACTGGAAGTGAGTCCTAAATGCCTCTTTAAAGAGCAAGTCACCCCCTACCAGAGTCTTACTCTACTCACACTTACTGTTTGAAAAATGCACCTAAAGGAGGCATGGCCTGGCAGACAGCGAGAGGGCCGCTGAGGCAGTCATTGTGTTCACATGCGCATCAGAAAACGGAACTTTTGCCCTAAATAGACCGACGTCCTTTTTAGCTCATTCACCGCCAGCCGTTTCCTGATCAGAAAGTCCTTCGCTGCCATCGTTTTCCGCATTTTTACTGTTTTTTTTAGAGTCACAGAACGTTGCGCGCTAGGATGATGTTGACTCCAAAACAAAGAGTAGACTCACCTCTTACATCAGGAAGAATCCGCGCATTTCGGGCGTCATCCGTTCTTTCATAATCCGTTATTGAATTGTGATCGGCAGAACCTTTTCCGGTTCGCGCCTCACTTTTTTTTACGGCAGCGGTCCAAAACGATCTCCTAACACATGGATTTTCTGCTTCCTGATCACGTGACGTGTGACGTACGCAGATGAAGATCGGCTTCAGAGCTGGGATGTTTGTTCTCACGGTGCGGGGGCGCGTTCCGACGCCCACGCTGTAAAAAAAAATGCAAATGACGACTTTTGCATGTGAACGGCTCAGTCGAGCTGATGCGAGTGAATTCCAGAAGCGACGAGACCGCAGAAGTGGTCTTCTTCTATCATCACAACGTAACACGTGTAACACCTTCCAACCGTACAGTACATATGCTGCAGCGTTGTTGTCCATTCCTTCCACCATTGTATACATCCTGTCATAACTTCATCTGTTTCACTCCCACCGGCATTTGTTTACTATTTGTTTTGCTATAAACTAACCGGAAGAGCTCAGACATGAAAGGGCGCATGTCGCCACCTACTGTACCGGAGTGGAACAAGCTAATTTACATAAAGGCTCCCAGTTTATTACTTCGAAGCACATGTAAACGCACTGAGTGACTGACAGCACACACACGCACGCACGCACGCACACACATACGCACAGCTCGCTCTTGGAGTTTTTCTGCTGGAGAAACAAGCCGTTAACAAGCACACACGTGACGCTCGGTCAGAGGAGCGGATAAACACCAGCACACTGGATGATTTGACCTCCACTTCATTGACTAGAAGAAAGCGAGGTGGACATTTTTTGAATGAGGCAAGAGGCTCTGAGCCATATTGTTTTTTTTATCACCTGGTGAATGGCTTAGCCAGCTGGGGGCGTGGCTGAGACTCGACTGCAGTCCAGTGCAGTGCAGGAATGTAATATGGTACTGGAAACATCACTGGGGACCTCTTAGTAAATAGCAATGACTGATTCAAATGTAGTGCAGTGTAGAGGTTTAACCTGAAAAGTGTGCAATACTGATGGTTTTTAGTGTTTTAAGTGCAATACTGATGGTTTTAGTATTTTAAATTTTAAACAATATGCATTAAAATGTCGGCAGCACTTTTAGACACTCATTTATACTGTTTCAGAGAAACCTTTAACCAGACGGGAAAAAACCTGCTTTCTCTGATTTAAATGTTGATTTTAGGATAAAGTTGTGGCTCAGTGAGTGGGTCCACATCATGTGCTACAGGATCTGCGCTCGAGGCCTGTCTGCTACCGTCCACTATCACAACAGGTAGCTGGATCTGAAATCGCCAGGAACAAATCTCCAGTCTCTTTTCATTTTTAAACATGTTTTTATTTTACGACAGAGAAAATAAACCAAAGAAGGGAGGAATCTGTGTCGCTAATCACACCAGTCCGATCGACGTGGTGATCCTCTGCAATGACGGCGGCTATGCCATGGTATCAGGAGAAGCCAACATGCTTCACAGATTTAAATTAGTTCATTTTTATTTATTTGTCTAATCATCCTAAGGTGGGTCAGGTCCATGGAGGGCTGATGGGGGTTGTTCAGAGAGCCATGGTGAGAGCTTGTCCTCATATCTGGTTTGAGAGATCGGAGATGAAGGATCGCCACCTAGTGACTAAAAGGTTCGGTGCTCGTTGTAATTCAGAAACAAGTCCTCTCTCTTCTAGCTGATGAAACCTTTTAGATCTTTTGAGTCTTTTTTCCAGACATGATTAAAAACTCTCAGAAGAAGCTTGTTATTAGTTTCTAGTTGGATCACATGTCTATATTTATACGAGGAAGAGGTTTCCATCACCTTTTGTTCTGCTTCCAGGTTGAAGGATCATGCGACTGACAAGAAAAAGCTACCCATATTAATATTTCCTGAAGGTTTGTGCGACCGCGTTACTTTGATGTTTGTGTCGTCCGATGAGAAGCCTCTGAGGGCTGTTACCTCAGCTCGTCCCAGAAAGCAGCGCGCTCACTCAGACGTGACAAACAGGCAGATATTAAATGTTAACCTGGATGGAGCTCAGTCCATCTGTTCTCGTTCATGTCTGATTTTTGCAGGAACCTGCGTAAACAACACGTCCGTCATGATGTTTAAAAAGGGAAGTTTTGAAATTGGAACTACGATACACCCCGTAGCCATCAAGGTACCTCACTCGTCTGCGTTTTAAAAACAAAAACCTTTCGTGTTTCTGCACACATAACTTCATCTCTGCATGAATGTGAAAATTTGCCAGTATGATCCAAAGTTTGGAGATGCTTTCTGGAACAGTTCCAAGTACAGCATGGTGAGTTACCTGCTGAGGATGATGACCAGTTGGGCCCTCGTCTGTAACGTCTGGTACCTGCCGGCCATGCACCAACAGGTAGGTCTGAACAAAGCACCTGCACTTGTTTTGGTGTTTGCATGGTTTTATTGCCAAAATGCAGTCAAACATTTTTATTATCTATTTCTACATTATATCTGTTTTTTATGGAAATGTTAAGAATTAACATAAAACTTTATGGATTGAAACATCTCCTGCTCCGCACCCAAATCTTACGTTCACATCAACTTAAAGGGACATTTCTTTCATTCTGAAGCATTTTCTGTGCAACAGGAATCAATCGTTGGTATTTATCCGGGTTTAATTAGCTTACTGAACAGCCTCGGTTCTGAGAAATGGTTTGTGTTCAACAGGAGAGCTAAATGTTAGCGTGGGAATCTAGACAAACCGTAGCGGTAGCAAAATGGTTTTGCTTTGCACGTTGGTGTAGCCACGCTAGCCTCAGCAGGTCTACCATTGGCTCGGCTAAGTTTAGGCTGGGCCAATCACAGCGCTCTATGTTCACTGGGCAGGCTTGGCTTTATTACAGCAGAGCTGCAGTGTAGAAAAACAAAGATGGCGGCGGCTCAGGAACAGCGCTCGTTTTAAACAGGCTTGCCATCAACTTTGGACCATTCTTCTTCTTCTTCACTGGTGTGTGGTAGACTGTCCTAAGGACTGATTTTTGTCACTATGAATGTGTCTCGCCCTGATTGGTTCTAGCGCTGTCCCTTTGTGTGCAGAGACAGTTTGAAAGACAACCGTAGACTCCGCCCCTACGACTGAGTTTGGTCTATGGGTTGTAGCCAGACTATAATTTTACATATAGAATGGCTTGAAAATGCACTTCCTGTTTATCAGTGAGTCAGTTCGACAACATTTTAAAATGTACTTCTGTTGAAAATAACCACCAAAAACCAAAACTGGTGAAAATGTTTTAAAGACTCTCCGTTTTAGTCGGGGCTGAGTGAATTGCACTGATCTGCGTCCAGAACAGATTGCTGTTGTCTGGAAAAAAAAACTCTAATCTAAATTTGAGAAGGACCTTTAATTATTTTACGCAGAAACACCAGATTTCTAAATGACCAACAAATCCTTTTAAACAAGACTTTTCACACATATCACACAGAAACACATCCAGCACCATCATTTCAAACATGGGGGCCCCTCAGGGATGTGTGCTGAGCCCCCTCCTCGTCACTCTGCTGACCCACAACTGCACACCATTACACAGCTCTAACCTCTTCATCAAGTTTGCAGATGACACAACAGTGGTGGGTCTCATAAACCACGGGGATGAGACCGAATACAGGAACGAGGTGAGGCGCCTTACCACATGGTGTGCTGACAACAACCTCTCTCTAAATGTGGTGAAGACCAAGGAGATTGTTGTGGACTTCAGGAGAGCACACACTCAGCACGCTCCTCTGACCATTGACGGTGTGTCTGTGGAGAGAGTGAGCAGCACCAAGTTCCTGGGTGTGCACATTACAGAGGATCTCTCCTGGACGAACAACACCATAGCACTTGCTAGGAAATCACAGCAGCGTCTCTTCTTCCTCCGCAAACTAAGAAGAGCAAGAGCACCAGCCCCCATCCTGTACACTTTCTACAGAGGCACCATCGAGAGCATCCTGTCGTACGGCATCACTGTGTGGTTCGGAGCCTGCAACGTTTCATGCATTAAAACCCTCCAACGTATAGTGAGAGCAGCAGAGAAGATCATTGGGGTCTCTCTCCCCTCCCTACCAGACATTTACAGCACTCGCCTCACAAAAAAGGCCCTTCGCATTGCGGCTGATCCCACTCACCCAATGCAAAGCCTCTTCGAGCTGCTGCCGTCAGGGAGGAGACTGCGGAGTCTCAAGGCCAGGACCAACAGACTGAAGGACAGCTTTATCCATCAGGCAGTTAGGAAGCTAAACTCCCTCCTGGCTCTCCCCCCTCTCCTCTCTTTTCCCCCACAGTCTCTCTGAACTTGGTTACTGTTTTTATACTAAATGTTTATTTTCTATCTAGCGAGAGTTTGAGAGTAACGTAATTTCAATTCTCTGTATGTCCTGTGCATGTGGCAGAAGTGACAATAAAACTGACTTTGACTTTGACATTTGACCCTAAATGGGAGATTTACTGGTAGAAAGCTGAGTCCAAGGGTGCAGCTTTATTTACAGATTAATTTCCACATCACAAGAAAAAAACACAAAAAACTTTTTATTTTAAATTCCCAGGATGGAGAGGATGCTGTCCAGTTTGCCAACAGAGTGAAATCAGCCATAGCTCACCAGGGAGGGCTGGTGGATCTACAGTGGTGAGCTCGTTTGTTTTAGACCCTGCTTCATGAGGACATTAGCTTCCTGTTGGCCTTATTTGGAAATAAACTTTTCATTTTTATGGATTTGTTTCTGCTTGTCTTTACATTTAGTAAGTTTAGCTGATTCCAACACATCCTCCAAACTGAAGCCCGGGTCTCAGCAGGCCTAACTCTGTGATGTGATTTTTAATTTGAGATTTGAATGCTCTGCAGGGACGGAGGTCTGAAGAGAGCAAAGGTGAAGGAGACCTTCAAGGAGCAGCAGCAGAAGAAGTACAGCAGCATGGTGGTGGGAGACGACAGCAGCAGCAGCAGCAGCAGCGACTGAGATCATTTCCAGCCGGAAGGACAAACCCTTCGACTGAAGAGCAGCAAATAAAATCCTTCACATCATCCGGACCCAATGCTGTTTAGCCAAACAGGCTTTTGTAGCTCTGATTTATCTCAGTGGGGGAAAACGTGCAATATTGAACATTATTAGAGCAGAGAAGGAAAGGAAACGCTGTTTATTTTTAATACTGCTCACGATTTGTTGTGATAAAAATATCTGTAGATTTGTGCTTAAAGAACTAAGAAACTGGAAAGTGTTTGTCTTTATTTTCTTTTTTTATAGAAATCAATTTTAGCTGACAAACTGTGTAAAGGGGCATTTATGCCGGATTATTCATCATAAAAAATACATTTTATATGGAGGCAGTATTTTCCAAGTAACTTCTTAATTAATACTAATTAGCACCAAACCTTGCTAATAGTTTTCATTTGAAGACTCGAAAATAAAACTCAGATTTTACGTTTAAATGTAAAAATGTTTTCGTTCTTCAAAAATTCATCTGAGCCTGCAAAACCAACTCCTGGTTAATGAATAATTATTTATCGATTGTGTGAAAGTGCAGTTAATTATTAAGATTTTTATAATATGACACACAGCTTAGATGTTTTGGACGTCTTCCTTCCTGAAGAGAGACTCTTACTGCTTCCAGTCTTCTGTCTTTCATCCTTTTTGGTCCCTGAAAGCCAAACAAACAAGCATCACCTTTCAGGTATTCCTCTAAATCTTTTCGTTTCTGTAACGTTTGTGTTCTGACCGTCACTTGTGTGACCATCCAGATGCGTGCCATCCTTTGTTCTCTGTGTCAAATCAAAAAGGGTCTTTATTTCACACAAGTTTTAGCAGTTAGGGAGCCAAAAGATGGAATTATTTACCTGCAAAGAATTGGTTTTGTTCTGTATTTGCTTGAGTTCTTGGTATCTGCAAATATTTTAGAAAAGAAAAATATGAATATTGAATATTTTTGTATTTTTGTGCACGTGTGCAACTCACTGTAGCAGGTAGGAGTCATATTGATGGAAGACGGGTTGATCCTTCAGGCCATCAGGTGCCCATCTTTTGCTCGTGTCCACTCCTACATCCACCCTCCCTGATGCTCCAGATGCTATCGGCATCTCTGCGAACAACCACACCTCGAGAGCCTGAAATAAAAATCTTTCAAAAAGAATTTGATGACGAAGAAAAGCTGCCAACGTTTTTGTTGCAGATGCTGCGGAACGATGAGCTGCTCTTTTGCAGAGTTTCACACAAAAGCTTGTTGCTGTTGCTGCGTGAGCAGGAAAATGTGGCAGTGGAGTTGTAAGGGGTGTTTGTTGGTGTATCCATGGAAACTGAGCTCCCAAAAGAGGGTGGAAACAGGGGTAAGGCTTTTTATCCAAACTCTACATTTTAACTTTTAGAAAACACTCAAAATAAAACAACAGCAATACATAAATCGATAAAAACGCCATCAGGGAGATGTTCACCACTTGTTCTGAACGGCACCCTAAAACCTTTTTTCCTACATCTGTACTTGACATGCACGTTGTCTAAACTCTGAATGTGTGCTTAATGATTAAATCTCAAGCAGAAAGCTATAGTGGTTTTGGAAGTCTTGAAATTTTAATGTCATTTCGGTAATGTACTTTTTGTGTAAGTCTGCAGTGTATGAATTCTGAGTCAAAAAGCCAATTAATTTTGTTGTTAATTAAATTTATGATTTTTTATTTATTCCAACTTTAATAATTCCGAGAATAAAGTCAGAATTCTGACAAAAAAGTAAGACTTTCTGAGATTATCTGACTTTAATCCCAGAATTCTGATTTTAATCTCAGAATTCTGACTTGTTTTTCCAGAATTCTGAAAAAAAAGTCAGAATTCTTACTTTAAAATCAGAATTCTGGGAAAAAAAGTAAGATTTTCTGAGAATAAAGTCAGAATTCTGGGATTAAAGACAAAATTCTGACTTTAATCTCAGAATTCTGCGGGGGGAAAGTCTGAATTCTGTTTCTTTTATTTTCTTTTTTCACATCAGTGGCCCTAATCCTCATCTGTATTTAATCAATCACAATTTAATTATATATTTATTACATTACAAAAGAATAAATCCCAATATTTTTGTGGGTATTTTGTGTTGCAACAACAGGAAAAGTAAACTCAAAACTGTAACATTTGAAACAATAACTGAAATAACTGTTGGAAAATGAGTCTTTTTTCCCCCTGAAATGTGAAGTGAATGTATTGGATGCATGGGACTTTTGTTTTAAATGAAAAGAATGACAGAACAATTTATCACAGTGACCAATTTGGTGTCCCACCCTAAAGTTTTCATTGGCCCCCTCTGAAATTTTTCTTGGGGCACCACTGAAAACACTTCCATGCTTAGTTAAACTCCACCCAGGATCTGTTTCATTAAACTAAATTTGACCAAACTCCACAAAGAGAGCTCTGCATGCTTTTGAGAAATCCAACAGTTTATTTACAGCAACACCTGGTGGACCAGTCATCAGCTTAAATTCAATCTTTGCAGAAATTTGATGTGTGATTCATCATTTTTCACCATTTATTCAATGATGACCAAGTATTAAGAAACAGTCTAAAGTTTGTTTGCATAAAGAAAAGAGACATTTTGTTTTTAGGATTCTTCCTTCTCGTCTCCATGTGTGATGATGTAGCAGAGCTGCTTGTAGTCTATGTTTCCAGTTGGGTCAATCGGTGCAAGAGCAAAGGCCTGATCCACCTGCAAGTTCATAAAAGGAACAGCTTTCTCACCGAATTCAGTCTAAAACTTAAATGTTATTGTTTTGATGTGAAAATGAGGAAAAACCAAACCTCTTCTGCTGTGAACTTATCAGCCTGGTTCATGAGTAATCGCTTAAACCTGGATTTAAAAGACAAGAACGTAAAAGAGGATAAATTAGATGCTGTAATGGCCGGAAAAAAGGAAATTTGAAAAATCAAACGCATCTTACTCATCCTTATTCACAAAGCCTGTCCCATTGGGATCAAAGGGCTTGAAAGCAGCAAGAATGGTGTCTTCAGGGTCGGTGCCTGGAGGAAGAACATCATCGGAGGGTTCTTACAGATGTTTAACATTGAATTGTATCACCTGTAAAGTTTCCTACCGTTGAGTTTTTCTCCAAAAAGGGACAAAAACACAGTAAAGTTGATGGGTCCCTTCCCTTCACTCAGCATGGCCTCCAGCTCCTCGTCTTGGACGTTAAGTTTCCCTGAAGAACAATAAATAAAACAATGAACTGTTAGTTGGTGGTCTCAGCATGTCCATTAACCCTGATGAAAACAGCAGAGTGATTCTTAAATGTTAAGCACCGAGCTGAGCGTAGGTCTCCTTCAGGTCCTGCTTTTTGATCACACCGTCTCTGTCCTGATCAATGCAGCCAAACGCCTGGAAGACCAATCAGCCGGTCAGTCAAACTTTATTTATAAGGCACCTTTCATTCACTAGATACAATAACTAAGTGTGTCACAGAAAACAAATACATGAGAGCATGGACGTCATTTTCACTTTAGAAGGGGGGGGGGGGGTATCTTTACAGTATGCTCTAATGGGAAACAGGCTTCAACACACGGTTGTTTTCCGCTTGGTCCTAGAGCTCAACCAGTGTCAATTTTACATAGCGTAATATTGTTTTTGGATGGTAAAAAGTGCAGGGGTCAAAACTGGACTTTGGATAAAGTGGGGGGGACATGTCCCCCCTGTCCCCCCCAAAATTACGTCCATGCATGAGAGCTGCGACAGACAAGAACACACGCAAAACACCGGGTAGTTCTAAAGTTTTTAAAGGAACTAATTAATTAATGAGGAAACGTTAGATATTAATATTAATGAAACATTTTGTATTAATAAATAATAAAAATGGGGCATACAGAATTATATACATTTAAATATTTTATAAAGTACATAAATAAATTTAAAATATGTGTTGTACATTAATAAATACATTTGTAATGTAATACGAAAGTAGAAAAAAATCAAGGTGAAATTCAACAGAGGATTTGTTAAAATATAATTGAATTTATGGCTAAGAATCCAGTAAATTAAAAGATAAATAAATTATATGATATGTGTTCCATGTTTACATAAATATCAATTACATTTAAATTTAACTGAATGAACACGTTTTAAGTTTACCAAAATATTCATGTTATTACTCAACATTAAAAATAGTTAATTAAGTCATTTATTTGGATTCGATTCAACTTTTTCAATAACATTTTTTGTCACTTTGGCAAACAAACCAAACAATAAGACCTAATATTCTATCTTTGATTTATTAAAGTAAGTTTCATCTCATTTCTTATTAGAGTGCAGTCCTTGAATACGCAACTTTTTTTTCATCGTTTGTATTTTCTTTCATGAAACATAAAAAACCAAAATCAACTAAATAATATGAAACTTTATTTGTGTTTAAAGATCACTGATTCTACATGTTCGTCATGAAAAGTGTCAAAGTGTTAGAAGGGAAACAGGGTACCTCCTTAAACTCTTGAATCTGCGACTGCTCAAACATGGAGAAGACGTTGGAGCAGGACTTCTGAGCTCCCCTCTGTCTCTTGTTGGAAGCCTTTTTACTTGCCTGGAGGTTTAAACGCACAACTTTTGCACATAAATCCTGGTTTTATATCAGTAAAATCAGGTTCTTCTGCTCAATAATGTCTGAAAAGCAATCAAATGTGACTCACCATGTCTGATTGACTGTGGACTCTCGGCTGAGGTGCGATGCCGGGGTGGGTTTTATGTACGACCCTTCTTATCGGCCACACTCCCATAATAACTGTGTTGGACAGCAGAATCCCTTACATGGTCTGCTCTGCGTCGCTGAGGCGATGTGATAAGAGGTGCAGCAGGATTCCTCTGGACTCAAAACAGAGATATGAGCAAAGGGCTGTTTAGGGAGTGTGACCTCTGACCTTTCACAGCCACTTCAAAATAAACCTTCAATCTTATTATTCATGCTTTGCTTAGGGCATCTTGTGAATTTAGTAATCCAAGAGGAAGATCGCAGGTCAGAACAAGAGAATGCTTCATGCTTTTTGGTGCAGACTGGCATTCTTTATTATCCTTGTTGTGACTTCAGATCATCTCTTGGTTCATCTGTGAATTTTATGTTGGATTTTTTAATTGTAGCTTTTTTTTGGGAGGGGGGGGGCACAATGTGCACAATGCGCACAATGTGTATGCACGCACGCACGCGCGCGCACACACACACACACCAAGCAATGTGTCAATGGCTACATTGTGATTGCTGAGTAAAGATTCTATTTGGTGAAAGATAAACTTTATTGTATTTATCCTAGTGGATCTATTATTAAACGGGTAAACTAGTAGTAGCACATCCAACGTCAAGGAAAGCAAAAAGTTATTATCAGGAGAGGGAGAATGTTTAAGTGGTTAGCAGCAGTGTGCTAGTCGATGGCCCCCTCCATGAGGCCACCACAGCTCAGCAGAACATCGTTGTAGCTTCTTCTGGGGAGAAAAACACTTAGAGAGAAAATAAAGTTAACAGCTGAAATAGCAGGAGATAATATAGTTAAAGAGCAGATAGTAGAAGAAAGCAGTAGAGTGTGAAAAGTGGTCAGTGTGTCCTCCAGCAGTCTAAGCCTATAGCAGCATAACTACAGAGATAACTCTGGATAACCAAGCCTTTTAGATGTATGCATGTTGGAGGCAGGGCAAGGGAGAGCCGTCTTTACCGACTGTACACTCCACCTCCCTCTACTCCCCCACTTGTCCAGATCTAGGCTAACATCAGATTTTAACCATAGGCCCTAACAAATAAAAATGTTTTAAGCCTAGTCTTAAAAGCAGACAAGGTGTCTGCCTCACAGACTAATTTTAGATATTCTGGGAACCACCAGTAAACCTGCAGTCTGAGAGCGAAGTACTTGGTTAGGAACGTATGGAACAATCAGATCACTGATGTATGATGGAGCTTGATTATTAAGAGCTTTATATGTGAGAAGAAGGATCTTAAAATCTATTCTGAATTTAACAGGTAGCCAATGTAGGGAAGCTAAGACAGGAGAGATATGATCTCTCTTTTTAATTCTCATCAGAACTCTAGCTGCAGCATTTTGGACAAGCTGAAGACTTTTAACTACATTCTGTGGACTTCCTGAGAGTAATGAATTACAGTAATCCAGTCTTGATGTAATAAATGCATGAACTAGTTTTCCAGCATCACTCCTGGAAAGGGTGCTTCTAATCTTAGCAAAGGTGGAAAAAGGAAATCCGACAAACCTGTTTAACCTGGGATTTGAATGACATGTCCTGGTCAAAGATAACACCAAGGTTCCTTACTTTGTTCTCGGAGATTAATGTAATGCCATTCAGGTCAGGTGATTGACTAAGCAATTTCCTTTTCTGGATTTCTGGTCCAAAGATGAGAAATTCAGTCTTGTCTTGATTTAAAAGCAAAAAGTTTAGAGTCATCCAATTTTTTATGTCCTCAAGACAAGCCTGTAATCTACCCAACCGATTAGTTTCATCAGGGTTAATGGATAAATATAACTGAGTATCGTCAGCATAACAGTGGAAGTTTATCCCATGCTGTCTAATGATTTTACCAATTGGGAGCATATATATAGTAAAAATAATTGGTCCAAGCACTGAACCCTGTGGTACTCCACAAGTAACCCTGGAGTATGAAGAAGATTTGTCATGTACATTTACAAAATGAAATCTGTCAGACAGGTAGGATTTAAACCAGCCTAACGCTGTTCCTTTGATCCCTACAACATGTTCAAGTCTTTCTAAAAGAACATTGTGATCAACTGTGTCAAAGGCAGCACTGAGATCTAACAAGACTAGAACAGACACAAGATTCTTATCTGAGGCCATGAGAATATCATTTGTAACTCTCACTAATGCAGTTTCAGTGCTGTGATACTCTCTAAAACCAGACTGAAATTCCTCAAACAGAGCATTAGTGTTTAAATGCTCACATACTTGGATGGCCACTATTTTCTCCAGGACTTTGGATAAAAATGGAAGGTTAGATATTGGTCTATAATTCTTTGGGTCATCTGGATCCAGAGAAGGCTTCTTAAGTGAAGGTTTGATTACAGCAACCTTAAAATCCTGTGGTACATATCCATTTACTAAGGATAGATTGATTATATCTAGAATGGGGGCAGTAACCAAAGGAAATGCTTCTTTAAATAATTTGGTTGGAATTGGATCCAAAATGCAAGTTGAAGGTTTAGATTAAGCTAATATTTTTGATAGCTCTGAAAGCTCAACTGGATCAAAACGGTTCAAGCACAGATGAGGTTCTACAGATACCTCTGATGCTGCCTCACTTACTGAGGAAGAAGAAATCGCATTAGGGAGGATGCTAAAGATTTTGTTTCTAATAGAATTAATTTTACTTGTAAAAAATCCCATGAAGTCATTGCTGCTGAGGGCTAAGGGAATAGATGGTTCAGAGCTATGATTCTGTGTAAGTTTAGCAACTGTACTGAAAATAAATTTAGGATTATGCTTATTCTCCTCAATTAATGCTGAGAAATAAGCAGTTCTAGTTTGTCGAAGCTTATTTTTATAAAGCACAAGACTATTTTTCCAGGATAGGTAGGCCTCCTCATGGTGTGTAGAGCACCATGTTCTCTCCAATTTCCTAGAGTTTTGTTTTAAAGCTCATAAATGAGAATTAAACCGGGGAGCCAACTTCCTGTCCCTAATTACCTTCTTTTTTAAAGGGGCAACATCATCTAATGCCACACATAAAGAGGAATTAACATGATAAACTAAGGCATCAATTTGTGAGGGGCTAGAAATGAAAATATTGCCCTCTGCTACGTTCCTCTGAGATGCTGAAGATTTGTGGAACAGTTGATTTAAAAGATGCAACTGCATTGTCAGATAGAGACCGACTATAGTGAAATTTATTTTCATGTCTCGAGAACTCAGTTATAAAAAACTCAAAGGTTATCAGAAAGTGGTCCGAGTGGACTGGATTATGTGGAAAGATCGTTATTTCCTCACACTCTATGCCATAAGTCAGCACAAGGTCCAATGTATGATGGCAGGAGTGGGTGGAGCTATGTATTCTTTGAGTAAAACCAATTGAGTCCAAGATATTACTAAAGGCTACATTGAGGCTATTTTTTCAATGTCCACATGAATATTAAAATCCCTCACTACAATGACCTTATCAGTATTTAGCACCAAATCAGATAAAAAATCAGAGATCTGATCCCAAAACTCAGAGTAAGGGCCTGGTGGACGATATAAAACTACAAACAAGAGTGGTTTTACAGTTTTGCAATCTGGATTAGGAAAACTAAGAATAAGATGTTCGAACGAACTGTAACTATTAATTGGTAAGGGATTGATTTTTAAGTCCGAATGAAAAATGGTTGCCACTCCACCTCCTCGCCCTGTACTTCGAGCAATATGATGATTTAAATAATTAAAAGGAGTTGACTCATTTAAGCTAACATAGTCCTCTTGCTGCAGCCAGGATTCTGTGAGAGAGAGCAAAGAGATCTGATTATCACAAATCAAGTCATTAACTAACAAAGTCTTAGAAAAAATGGATCTAATGTTCAACAACCCACATTTAATTTTTCTAGTTTTCTGCTCAGTTGAATTTGTTCTAATATTTGAGATTTCCATGATTTGCTTTATTAAGCCTGATATTTAATCTGTGTGGTTTTGGCCGTGGGCAGGACGCTGTCTCTATGGGGTAGTGGGTGGGTAACAGTACAGAAGCTGCAGAGGGGTGGGTTAAACTACGACTCTGCTTCCTGGTCTGGACCCTGGGTAGTCATGGAGGACTAATAAAACTGGCCATATTCCTAGAAAGAAGAGCTGCACCATCCAAAGAGGGATGGATGTCGTCTCTCCGCATCAGACCAGGTTTTCCCCAAAAAGTTTTACAATTATCAATGTAGCCCACGTTGTTTTCAGGACACCACCTAGACAGCCAGCGGTTGCAGGACAGCATGCGGCTAAACATGTCGTCACAGGTCCGATCAGGCAGGGGGCCAGAGAAAATTACGGAGTCCGACATCGTTTTGGCAAACGTACACACCGAAGCAACATTAATTTTAGTGACCTCCGATTGGCGTAACCGGGTGTCGTTACCGCCAGCGTGAATAACAATCTTACTGTATTTACGCTTATCCTTAGCCAGCAGTTTCAGATAAGATTTAATGTCGCCCGCTCTGGCCCCAGGTAAACATTTAACTATGGTTGCTGGAGTCTCTAATGCCACGTTTCTGACTATGGAGCTGCCAATGATCAGAGTCGGCTTGTCAGTGGGTGTGTCACTGAGCGGGGAAAATCTATTAGAAACGTGGACGGGTTGGTGGTGGCCCACGGGCTGGGTTCTATGCTTCCTGCGTACCGTCACCCAGCGGGCCTGAGGTCCCGGCTGCTCTGGTTCTGCTGGAGGGTTGCTACGGGGTGGTTCTGAGCTTGTTAGCCCCGCGCTAGCTAAGTAGCTACGGCTGTTTATTGGCTTTTCAACAGCGCAGAGCCAGGCCTCCAATTCCGACACCCTCGCCTCCAAAGCTACAAAAATGCTACATTTATTACACGTACCATTATCACTAAAGGAGGCAGAGGAGAACTAAACATCTGACACAGAGAGCAAGATATAGGAGACAGAGAGGCAGAGACAGAAGTAGCCATAGCCGTGATGAGGCTAAGCTAACTGGACGAGCAAACTGTTCAACACCAAATAAACTGCGTGGGAACTCAAATGGTTCCCTAAAAGCTAAGTGGAACAACAGAAAATGTGTGTTTTAGCGTGCTAATGTGCTACAATAACTCAGAGATATCCTAGTACAGAGTAAATAAATCAGTTTTAGCGAGCCCCAAACACCAAACAGCTACACGTAGTGCACTGGAAACAGGAAACGCCTTACTGCCAGGGAGATGCAGCAGCATTCAACACTCATAGGTTAGAAGACGTTCAAATTATTTCATGTTTTGCCTATTTGTTGTCAACTGAAATTATAAATAAAGATTTCAATATTTCAATCAGAATATTTTATTTTATTTACTGTACAGCCTATACAAAACACACTTTATAAAAGAAAAAACACAGAACATGTTGAGGTTTTAAATAAACATAACAAAACACATTTCTTTCCTCTCAAACACAAATTACACAACAAATTATTGAATCTGATTCTGTCAAGTCTACAAATTTACAAGGTTTTTGTGTTTATATCAAGCCCCCACAATGCGGCTCCTAAATTGAGTCAAACCCGGAAGTACCAAAAATTGCAGTTCCACCCTCATCCACTAGGGGCTGGTGTCAGAAGCGAGCAAATCCTCATTGACTCCCATGTTAAAAATACCAATTTCACAGCAGAAATAAACATGTTTACAGCCTGGTACCAAAACATGTTTTTGGTTTAAATGATCTAGTTTACACTCATGACAACTCTGAGGGGGGTGGATTTTTTTCTCACTCTTCTGTTTAAGTGTATTAAAAGCCTAAAATTCTGTATAATTAATGAACATCAGACCCACGTGACCACAGAGCTAGCTCCGTGGAAAGGCCTCAGTAGAGCCTCGGTCTGGCCTGGAAACTGCTCCGGGATTTTTGAGTCTGTGTGTGTGTATTCTTTTTTGGATATTTTTTGTGCAATTGTTGGACAAAATGACTTGCTGTGGCATTAATTGCACTAATAGAGCGTCCAAGGAGTCTCCACTTCATTTTTTTCGATAAGTAAAATTATATTTATGTATTTTAGGTCACTGCCGAGCGGAGCTTAGATTTTAACATGTACTGTTTAACCATGAAATTTAAATGTAATAGGGTAAAACCCAGTGCATTTAACATAATGCTGCACTTTAGAAAATGGGTTGAAAAATAACATGTTGGTGGAGCTGGGTTCCCACTATCGCCTTGTGGAGCTCTTGAGAGACCGATGTTTTCCACCCCTCCCCGCAGCCCGGCGCATCTCTGTCTGATCGCGGCTTCTGTCTGCTGTGCGGCTGCCGGCTTTCAGCAGCTTTCGGGAGACCTCTGTGTTCCACCCGGTTTTACCCAGCGGTCAGCCCGGCGTATCTCTGACTCAGAAGCTCTGGTGTTGTGCACAGTTAACTCCGGTTGTAGCTAGGTTGCTACCTCCGTTAGCTTAGCTCCCACCTCCGCGTTAGCTTTGGGTTAGCTTCAGGTTAGCTTGTAGCTAGTTCGACTGGGTGTCGTCAGTTGATCCCAGCCTTACAGCCACACCCTCAGCTCCACCTCTCTTCCCTTTTATGGAATTGTCTGGGCTTGACGGAACCTGTGACACGGTCAAAATGGCGGTGGTGGCCACCTCCCATTTTGGCACAAAAACGTGTTATTGGAGCCTATGGAAATGAATTGTCCAATATATATGTCGATGGTTTATATGCACAACGTTCCATATTATATAATCTGTTTTTGAATGGATCGTTTTACCACCAACTGGAAGTAACTCCTCCCAAAAGCACACCTAAGACGAGCTTTCATGCTTCCTATTGTTAAAAATACAAGAGTAAACAAAGTCTTACAGTTTGGAAACATTAAAGTCTCCGTTGTTGGTATAGTGTTACTAAATAAAGTCTATTATACAAACACTTTGATGCTTCCTTGTCCAGTAATTAGTACCCAGTTTGGTCCCTCTCAAGCTTTAGAAAGTGCATCAGGATTTCCTCCTCCAGCCGGAGTCGAGACTCGTTCCATCACTCTCCAATGCAAATCCATCTTCACTGTGTCAGCATGTAAGCTGCCATCTTACAGGCCACAGCCGAGATGAGAGCTGCTCCCCGTCCGCTGCCCTCCTCCGATTGGAGGAAGGTGATGTCACAGTGGGGGGTGAGCTCCCGGACCACTTTGTGGAAACGGTCGCAGAAACTTAAACACAGAGACAACCGGTTCGTCAGTCACAGAAGAGTCTCGCTTCCGTCCACTCTAATAAATCCTCTCACTGATACTCACTATGGGTGCAGCTTGTAGACAGATCCGTCAACCCCTACTGTGATCTTCAGGGTGTCCTGGCGGCGCTGCTCTCGCATCTGGTTGATGATACCAGCGAGCCCAGCGCCGCACATATGAGCCGAGCGGGTAGAAATGTTCTCACAGACCAGCTGAACGATGTCACAGTCCAGCTCAGAGGGGAGAAGACCCAACGAGGAGAGGATGTTGTAGATTTGTTTTCTGTCACCAGAATCACTGAAAAGAAAAAGGCCACAAGTTGAATCTGCATGAGTAAATAATGTAAACAATGTGAACCCTTCCTGCCCTGAGGTGCTGACGCTCACCTCTCCACCTGTGAGACGAAGCGCGTCTCAAAGCTTCCACGTGTCTTCAGCAGCTCAGAAGCTTCGCCGTTGAACAGCAGGTTTTCATTCACCAGCTTCATCAGGACCAGCCTCACCAGCTCCCCCATGTATTTCCCACTGATCAGCTTCTCGTACCTACGGAAGGCAAAAACAGACAAAAATAAACATTAGAAATGAAAAACAAAGGCAGGGCTGAAGAAACGTTCAAAAATCCAACATGTGATAATTTCTGTAACGGTAGAGAGGCGGCCTTAGCAGCCGTGTGTGTGAATGGGCTGCCAGTGCAACAAGGTAAACAGCCATTAGGCTTCCTGGCACCATCATTAATCTGACGTCTCCACCTGCCGACTGACCGCTGATGTATGAGGGCTCTGTCCATTTGCTAACATCCTGAGGAAAACAGCTGGTCGCCTGGCAACTTTATAGTTGAGGATCAGGTGAGTAGAGCCAGAAAATAACGAGTCATTTATAACACCTGTGTGTGTGTGTGTGTGTGTGTGTGTGTGTGTGTGTGTGTGTGTGTGTGTGTGTGTGTGTGTGTGTGTGTGTGTGTGGGTGGGTCTACACGCTTCACGCCAGCCACCATATGACTTGTTCTGGCTGCACGTGAGAGAGCAGAATGTTTAGTCGGTCATGTCGGTACTCACAGCTGCTGCCCGGGGTTGATGGAGGCCTCGTCCACCACTCTGTCGTACTCCAGTCGGAAGTCCTCCAGCTCGCCTTTGTCTCCAAACGCCCCCCACTCTGTGTTCACGCACATTCGACCCTCCTCCCCTTCCACCAGCTCCACAGTCCTCATCTCCTCCATGTAGCACGCGTTACATCCTGTGCCTGGTTCACAAAAACAGTAGCTCCTGTAAGCCCAAGGGTGGTCAGGTGGCACGAGCACTCGCCCTCACGTGTGTTCACGGCTTCTTACCAACAATCATCCCAACTTCACAGCTGCGGTCTTCATAATAGCAGGAAATCATGGTGGCTACTGTGTCGTTCACCATGGCAACCACGTGCATCTCAAAGTCCTGCATGGTATTAGGATGTGTTAGGCTTTCCTGCCTATATAAATGCTTAATTTGATTTTTAAAGAATCGGCGTAAGCTCAGTCACCCCTCGTCTCTTGATTGCATCTCGGAGCAAACCAACAACGTTGTTTCCTTCTGCTCCAGAGGCCTTAAAGCCTTTGGTCCAGTTCAGCAGGATTCCCTTTAAAACACAAGCAGAAAAGGTCTTCAGTGGTACAAACATGACCGAATGTGAAAACACTGATAGACAACTAGAAATAAATCAGTTCTGGGTGGTCATGAGGAGAAAAGGGGTGCACGATTGTCCCACCTTGTCCAGGTCCTCGTGTCGAACAGGAAACGAAAAGGTAAACCCCAGAGGAAGCTTCTTGTGCTTGATGTGGTGCTTGTCCAAAAAATCAGACATGCACTCTGCAATGTAGTCAAACAGCTGCAGAGGCAGGAACATAAAAGGTGTCAAAGTTCAATGATGTCTCACGAACTGTCGTTATGGCAAAGAATCGGCAGATTTTTCACAGGAAATGGAAAGATTAGTAAGTTTGGCTGACCATTTCAGCAGTCCCTGTCATTGCATCCTCAGGAATGGAGTACATCTGGTGTTTGGTTTCCACCTTAAAGCTCCTCTCCTCATCTCCACCCACTTTCACCAGCATCACACGGAAGTTGGTTCCGCCGAGGTCCAAAGCTAAGAAATCACCCACCTCTGTCGCAACAAAGCAGAACGCAGCTTTAACACACAGACAGCAGTTTTTTAGTTACACCCAACACTTTTACGAGTTTTTACCTGATCCCTCAGGGGTGGAGCAGACGTAGGTCGGAAGCATTTTGACGCTGGCCTCTTCGTGCGTCTCTAGGCGCAGCCCTCTGTTCATTTCATGCTGCATTCTCCTCATAACCTCTTTGAGCTCTTCTGTTTTCAGCTGGAACTCCGACAGGATCTGCTGCACCTGCGGTCCGAGAAGAGAAGAGCAGATCAGAGGAAGCGCACACCGGGAAAAAGTTGGTGATTGGGAGCAAAACCTTAAAGAACCACTTCTAAATTGAACCTCCTGTCAGAGCTGCTGATGAAGTCACATCTTACCATAAAGATCTTTTCTACCTCCTCCTCATAGCTACCAGGCGTCTCCACCATCTGGTCCAGTTGACTGCTGATACAAGGCATCCTTACAGGTTCTAGAGCAAGCTGAGAGTTGTGTCCAGTGTGTGTGTGTGTGTGTGTGTGTGTGAGTGTGTGTGAGTATTGAGTCAGTGAAGGGTGAGCATGGTGTGATCCTCTGCTGCTTTTATGACCAGGTGAAGGAGGACGGACATCTCAAAAGCCCCCCCCCCCCCCCCCCCCTTTGTCAACCTCATCCCATCTGGTGATGAAGGTTACAACACACATGCACGCACGCATGTGTGCACGCACACACACATATATATAATTTGAGGTTTTGATGGTCCACATTATTCTAAAAATAGTTTCATGATTCATATTAATTGCAGTTATTAGCTTCTTCTGTTTCAAATGTTCATCTGATCTAAAAGGATAGGAAGAGACAAAAAGCCACACGTTTGTAAAAAATGATTGTAGCCATAACTAATTACTAATTAGCAGCATTTGTTGACAGTAAAATCTTCAAGATGTTTTAATTCTGTCTTAAACTAAAAGGGTTTGAAGTTTTCCTTTTTCATGTTTTGTTGAAATAATAAACATTTTACAATGATTGTTGTGGTTACTAAGAGCAAAAAAATATCCATAAATGTTGTTTTTCACCCCAAATTAAGACAAAAGTGTCGTACTTCTCTAACCATTTGTGTTGTTGATGATCAAAGTGGGCTTTCAGGGGACAAATTAAACCAATTGGAATATGAACTTAGGCCCATTTTAGAAATAAGAGGGCTGTTGGGCAATGTTGCATAGTTGCTCAATGGGTCTCAGAGTTGCACATTAGTTTTAAAATTAGAAACAGTCCTAAATTTAGCAACTGAACGGGATCGTTGACCTCAAAATCTAACAGTGATGTTCTAAAGGTGAAGGTCTCAGGTGCTTATCATCTCTGGTGGTCAAACAGACGACAGGTCAGAGCCACAAAGGAAACATGAAGTAACTCCCTCAATCTGTGCCCTCAAAGCAGGTTTTCTAAATAAAATAAAAAAGATTTTCTTTTTTGGTGAACAGTCGTATCGTTATCAAACCTTTTAAACCTTCATTCAATTCAAAAATACTTTATTAATCCCAGAGGGAAACTGATTGCTGTAGTAGCTCAGAATAATAATAATAATCAAGTCATCAAAGAGTTGTTGTATATTACAATGGCTGTTGGCAGGAAGGATCTCCAGTAGCGGTCAGTGTTGCAGCCAAACTGAAGAAGCCTCTGACTGAAGACACTCTTCCGTTGTCGGACAGTCTTGTGAAGAGAATGCTCAGGGTTGTCCATCATGTTCTTGATTCTCTGGAGAATCCTTCTTTGCATCATCTCCTCCAGCGGTTCCACAGTCGTCCCCAGAACAGAACCAGCCTTTGTTATTAGGCTGTTGAGCCTTTTCAGGTCCCTGCTTCTGATGCTGCTACCCCAACAGACGATGGCTGAAGAGATTACACTCTCAACAACAGACTTGTAGAAGATCTGCAGCATCTTGCTACAGACATTGAAGGACCTAAGCGTCCTCAAGAAGTGCAGTCTGCTGTGTCCCTTCTTGTAAACGGCTTCGCTGTTCTTTCTCCAGTCCAGTCTGTTGTCCAGGTGAACTCCAAGGTGTTTGTATTCCTCAACCACCTCCACTTCTTCTCCCATGATGGGAACAGCGTTTGACGTTTTCTAATTCTGAGCTGCATGAAGGGATTTAAAATCCTAATCCTGTAAATCCACATCAGGTAAAACTTAAAAAGTTGAAACATGGTGCAAAAGTCCATTAATGTCAGTAATCCATCTTAGACTGAGAGACTATCTAAAGGCTCAGGAACCCTTAGGTGTTTATGATTCATTAGCTGATTAAAATGTGACACTTTGAGTCTAGAATATTGAATCTTTTCTCAATATTCTAGTTTTCTGAGATTTTGAACGTGGAGTTTTCACAAGTTGTAAACCGTAATCATCACAATTATAATGCATAAAGGCTTGAAATATCTGGCTTTGCATGGAATGAGTATATCTCATTTATTAGTTTCACCTTTTAAGACGGATCTCTGAAATAAATTAACTTTGGCACCATTTTCTAATTTTTGGAGTTTCGCCCGTGAGTCCATATCTGATATGTTTTACTTGTTTTCTTGCTCCCACAATGGATTTTTTGTTCAAGAGCCTGTTGATGAAAGGTTTATCAGAGCAGAGAAACAACTAACACACGCAGGACGGTGACATCTAAATGTGCTTTATCTCCCCTTCAGACTCTGAAACATCTTCTCTTTACCTCAGAGTTCCCGTGCGTCTCAAACTTGCGTTACTTTGAATTTTACAGTTTTCGTTCTTGACTAATTAAAACTGCAGACCAGTTGGGTAAGTGCATTTCTGAATCACAAGGAATATGCAAAATAATACAGACACAGAGCAGATAGAGCCAGCTTGTGTTGCAACATGTACAGAGAGTTGAACCTCTGCCAAGTGCTTGTCGATAACTGATTATCCAGTTAATTTAACCTGCTCTGCTGTTTGCACAGATGATGGACCTCCAGCTTTCTCCAGAAAAACTCCCAAACTAAGCAACAGTGTTATTCAATAGAAGAAGAAAAATACAAAAAGGTTTGTAGGTTTCCTGTATGGAAACAAATCAGTACACAACGGGCTAATTTTAGAAGATTCGTAAAGCTAACCCTAACCCATTTTAGAGAATAAAACACGGTATGATGCAATAATCATTCACTGTGACATTTGCTGAATGGTTTATGAGGTTTATAGAAAGTGTGTTGTCATTCCATTTCTTTGAGATTGAAAGTGCAAACAGAAATAATATTTAAAAATCCAATACCTGATATAAATCAAACATGTGACATGGGTAAATTATCCGTTGAAATCACTATTGCTTTCTAAATTAGAGGCTTTTAGAATAAAACTAAATTCATAACTGGTTAAACCGATTTTTGCCCAGCAGAACACAAATTATACAGTTTGAAAATGAAAAAAATCAAAGTTTGAAGAATGTGGAGTGTCTCAAGGTTCAGTGTTTGGCTCTGAACTATTTATTCTATAAATATAAACTTTAGAAGTGTCTAAAAACACTGCAGTTTCCTAGAGAGGCTCATCCCCACCCATCTACGCTCCGTGGTGACGCCAGGGATAGACCCACTGCAATTTGCATGTAAACCAAACATGGGGGTGAAGCACGTGCTCATCTACCTACAGCACCGGACTCTGACTCACCTCAAGATGCAAAAATGCACTGTGAGAGTGGTGTTCTTTGACTTCTCAAGAGCTTTCAACACCACCCAGTTGTGTCTACTGCAGCAGAAGATGAGAGGTGCAGGAGTGGACGAACACCTGACTGCATGGACCATCAACTACCTCACCAACAGGCCACAGTACATGAGGCTGCAAAACTGTATGAGGTGGTTATGTGCAGTTCGGGAGCTCCACAGGGTACCGTGCTCTCACGCTTTCTCTTCACCTTCTACAGCTCGGACTACACCTACAACATCAGCAGCTGTCACCTCCATGAGTTCTCTGATGACTCGCCCATTGTTGGCTTTGTGTCTGGGGGGATTGAGCTGGAATACAGACAAGTCATTGTTCTATGTACGACCAACGTAATAAATGACTCAACGTCCTTCAGCTCGAGAGGTGTTGTGTTTATTTCTCAGTCCGCCGAACTCCCTCCAAACTCCTCCCCCTTCAGGCAAGTCTTAAAGGCATACACACTGTATCTATCCACATGACATCTCCCCTCTTTGAGCCAGAGACAGTGTAAACAGAGTGAAAGAACAAAGTGCGTCTTTTTTCTCAAAGCATTGGAAGCCTCTGTAACAGTAACCGACAGCAGAAACATAACATAGATGCTTTTAACCAAAGAGTCAATCACAATAATTGCAAACGATCACCAACACTTTTTTTTTCTTCGTCAAAGGATGAAGGCAACAGGACACAACCCAACCATACACGCGTCGTTGGGGTGATGGGCTGTTGACGATGGTGGTGGTGGCTGATCTGCCACACCAGGAAGGAATATTGGTCGTAGGTGGCGCCTGTTCCTCCGCAGTGTCCCGTGCTCTGTCTGGATCAGGTAGGACCTTGGAGCGGGATGTGGTTGTTGGACCTTTGCCGCAGATGTCCAGCCAGAATCACCATCAAGTTTCTCCGCCACATCCTGCCCGGGTGTAAGGGGTGGGAGTGCTCTGGCACCATGGCGTCGGTTGTAGACACGTTCGTAGCTCCTGTTCGCCTTGGCATCGGCTGCACGCACCTTTGCGAAGTTGGGCCACTTAGGCAGCAGAACCTTACCGACTGTAGGTACAGTCGTCTTAATCTGACGACCCATCATCAGCTGGGCCGGACTGGCGCCTGTGGCTTGTACTGGCGTGGCTCTGTAGGCCATGAGAGCCAAAAACTGGTCGTCCTGCCGGAGAATCCTCTTTGCTGTCTGAACAGCTCTCTCAGCCTTACCATTGGCCTGAGGATAGTGGGGGCTGGAGGTGATGTGCCTGAAATCATAGGCTACAGAAAAACTGTCAAACTCTTTGCTCGTAAACTGTGTAGCATCGTCAGTGGTGAGTTCTTCTGGACAACCACACCTAGCAAACATGTTTTTCAGGCGGGAACATTTGGTCTCTTCATGTCCGGTAGGTGAGCCAACTCTAAATAACAAGAATAAAAGTCCACAACTACCAAGTAATGTTCTTTTTCATACTCCCAGATGTCCGCGCCTATCGATTGCCAGGGCCTCTGTGGTAGTGGTGTTGTGATCAGAGGCTCCTTCCGTTGTGTAGGTCTGACTCTCATGCACTCCAGACATTTTGTCACCAGTTCCTGGATGTCTTTTTCTAGTCCGGGCCACCACACACTCATGCGCGCTCGTTCCTTGCACTTGGTGATGCCTTGGTGCACATCATGTAACCGGTGAAGGATCTCTTTTCTCATACTTTGGGGAATCACGATGCGGTCTCCATACAGCACAAGACCCTTTGATATCGACAGGCTGTTACTGCAGTGGTGATGGGCTTTAGCTTGTGTGGGTACACTCCCCACATACTTTGGCCATCCCTCCAAGATCAGTCTGTTCACCACCTGCAGGCCATGATCCACACTCGTCTCCTGCTTGATCCATTCCAGTTTGGAAGGTGACATTGGCCACGCCGTGTGAGCTGCATCTTCAAACACTGAAACATCATACGTTAGCTCGGACACTTCACTTGTTATTACAGGTAATGGCTGTCTGGAAAGCATGTCGGCTACTGTCAGTGTTTTCCCCGGCACGTACTCTGTGATGGGGTTATACTTCATCATCCGCATCAGCAACTGCTGGCTCCTCAAGGGGACCCTATCAAGATCTTTGTTGTTAATTAGGGGAACCAGCGGTTTGTGGTCTGTGTGGACCGTAAAGTTGTTCAGGCCATATAGGTAAGTGGAAAATCTCTTGCAGGACCAAACTGCAGCCAGGCATTCTTTTTCTATTTGTGCTTGGCGCATCTCAGCTTCAGTCAATGATCTTGAACAGAAAGCTAATGGTTTCAGTCCATCTGAGTGTCTCTGTAACAGTACCCCACCTAGCCCGTAGCTGCTCGCGTCTGCACTCACCACGGTTGGTTTGGTTACATTATAGAATGCAAGTGAAGGTGCGGTGGAAATGAGTTGTTTTACCTTGTTGAATGCGTTATCTTGTGCTGTGTCCCAGGTCTGCACTGCTCTGCTCCTCAGCAGGTCATTGAGTGGCTTTATCACGTCAGATAAGTTGGGCAGGAAGCGTCCAAGGTAATGGACCATGCCCAGGAACCTCCTCAAGCCAGGCACGTCAGTTGGGGGCTGTAGCTCTGTGATGGCGGCTACTTTAGAGGGATCAGGCTGAATGCCGTCACCGCCAATTCGATGTCCCAAATAGCTCAGCTGTCTTTGTCTCAGGAAACATTTCACATTGTTCAGTTCTAGGTCTGCACTTTTCAGGATGCACAGAGCATTTTGGAGTCTCTCTTTGTGTTCTTTATCATCTCTGCCATGGACGAGGATGTCATCCATGTACACTTCCACTCCCTCCTGTCCTCTGAACAGCACAGACATTTCCCTCTGGAAACTTTCTGGCGCACTGGAGATTCCAAAGGGCAGTCGCTTGAAAAAGAACCGACCCACTGGGGTAATGAACGTGGTTAGTTTAGCTGTTCCTCTCTCAAGTGGGATTTGCCGGAAGCCGCTTGCTGCGTCCAGTAGAGAGAATACTCTAGATTCTGCTAGCCTCGGCAATATACCATCTATGGTGGGTAGGACAAATCGTTCCCTCTTCACTGCCATGTTCAGTGTCTTCAGATCAACACAAATCCATACCTCGCCATTTTTCTTTGGGACTGGAACTGTGGGAGCACACCACTCTGTTGGCTCTGTTAATTCTTCTATGGCGTTGCATTTCAGCATCCTGTCGAGCTCGTTCTTGACTTTGGAGAGAAGGGGGCAGACACTCGCCTGGCTGTGCTGACGCTGTAGGGGACAGCGTCGTCCTGCAGATGTATTTTCACAGGTTTTATTTTTAGGAGGCCTAGATCCGTCCCGGACGTGCTTCTCACCTCTTTCACTTTCTTCACCAGTCCCATCGCCACAGCAACATCACGGCCTACTAAGTTGCTGCTGTTAGTTGTTTCCATGACGTGGATACTGAACCTGTAACTTTGCCCTTTATATTTTGTAGTGGCAGTGAACAGTCCTAGACAGTTGAGCCTTCCACCAGGGCTGTCGAAATCTGTGTGAGCGCTTGATAGTTGGGGCGAGCTGTTGAAGCGATGATAGGTGTCGTCCGAAATTACACTGGCATCTGCACCAGTATCAATTTTGAAGCTGACAGAGGTACCGCAGATGTTTAGTTGGACAGTCCATGGCTTATTAGAGTCAGTTACATAAAGTTGTGTTGTTTTTATCTCGCCCAGGAAGTGCCCCTCGTTGAAATTTTCATCCAGCCTCTCTCTTGTTTTTATTTCGTTTACTCTTGCAGAGCGGCACACGGCGGCAAAGTGTCCAATTTTATGGCAGTTTCTGCATTTTGCTTGCCTGGCTGCACACAGCGTATTGCTCCTGTGATCTCGTCCGCACCTGAAGCATTTAGATTCTGCAGCGCTGCCGTCGCGTTGCCCTGGCGCCTGGGGCCCGCCGCCGCCCCGCGCCCTCTCTTCCTCTGTGTTGTTGGGAAGGCGCAGCACGCACATTGTGTCTAACCTCACTCAGAGCTGCTGCATCTCCCGTGTCAGCCTTAGCTTGCTGGCTAACTTGCCTCTTTATCTGCTCAGACTGTCTCACCATCTCCACGGCTTTCTCCAGTGTGAGGTCGGCTTTTAACTGTAGTTTCTCTGACATGTCTTTGTCCAGGATCCCAACCACTAACTTGTCGCGAATGTTTTCAATCTTCGCCGGACCAAACTGACAGGTCTCGGCCAGTTCATAGAGTGTACGTATGTATTCCTCCGCGGACTCACCCTTCTTTTGCGAGCGGAGGTAAAACCGTGCTCGTTCGTGGATGACGTTAACTTTTGGAATGAAGTAATTATTTAGCTTTCCCAATACCGTGTCATCCTCCTCCTCATTGAACCGCAGAGTGTTAAACACTTGTTCCGCTTCCTTGCCAAGCGCGTAGAGTAGGGTGCTAACCTGCACAGCTCCATCCTCGAGGTTTAGCTTAGTTGCTAGCCGTCAACGCTGGAACCGCTGCCTCCACTCCGGCCACTGCTCCAGGCGGGTGAAGTCAAAGTTGTCGGGAGGGTTAAACTTGGCCATATTCACCGCTTAACTTCTGACACCATGTTCTATGTATGACCAACGTAATACATGACTCAACGTCCTTCAGCTCGAGAGGTGCTGTGTTTATTTCTCAGCCCGCCGAACTCCCTCCAAACTCCTCCCCCTTCAGGCAAGTCTTAAAGGCATACGCACTGTATCTATTCACATGACAGTCATCATGGACCTTGTAGACTGGTGTGAGCATAACCACCTTCAATTAAACACCAGTAAAACAAAGGAAATGGTGATTGGCTTCCAGAGAAACACTCCTCCTCACTCACCGGTAAACATCCAGGTGCAGACGTTGAGGTGGTGGATACCATTAGTGTTCACGTCATCAGTAAACTGAACTGGTCCAACAACACAGATGCTCTGTATTCCTGAGGAGGCTGAGGTCCATCAGATTTAATTCACATCTGCTAAAATTCTTTTATCACTCTGCTGTCAGCTCTGTTATTCATTCTGCCGTGGTCTGTTGGGGTGCAGGCAGCTCTGACCGAGACAGGAGGAGACTGAACAAGCTAGTAAAATAAAGCTAGCTCTGTTCTGGGCTGCCAACTAGATTCAGCTGAGGATGATGTGTGGAAGGAGGATGCTAAGGAAGATGACCTCCATCTTGGGAAACCCCTCCTACCCACCGTGTTCCATTGTGGGGACCATGGACAGCTCCTTCAGAGGTAGACTGAGACATCCCAGATGTAAAACAGAACACTACCGTAGGTCATTCATCCCCTCTGCAGTAATAGTGCGTAAATTGTCAGTTTAACTGGTACTGGCATTATCCTGGTACACAATGACATCAGTGTGGTATTCAGTATGTGTTCAATACTTGTGCAGTACCTGACGTAATATGTCTGAGTTCATTATGCTGCATAGTTCTGGAAACCCAAGTTTCCTTTTCATTCATTGTTTTTAGTGGTTGAAGGTTACACAAATAAATAAATAAACATAAATAAACATTGATAGCTCATTACCTTTGTGTGTTTATCTGAAATCTCGTTATTATTCTCTTCTTCCTTTTTTCTCTAAGCAGATGTGCTGCTTTAGTCGGTGTGGGGTTAATAAAGTCTATTATATTTTATTTTATTTGCAGATGACAATAATAGTTTTTATTCTGGGGTATGGCTCAAAATAATTGCAGAAAGTGTGGTTTGTGAGATGTCTAAAATTAAAACGTAGCTTAAAATAATTTATTAATTATGAAATGCAACAAAAAACATTACGGACGTTATTTTTTAGAATAAAAAAATGTTACTTTTAGTAGAAATTTTGAGTCACAAAACTTAGTTGCATATGATGCAAAAAGTTTATAAATCCATGGAAATTTCCAAAACGTGTGTTTTAGAACTATCAGCGCAACACATTTTATATTATTCACTTCATTCACACCTGAGTTTCTGTTTAAAGAAGTTAGAGTTCACACACGCGATCAATACTAATCCCTAGTTTGTATTTAAAGAAAATATATCAACTAAATGAATAATATTTAAGACTAATGACATTGTTTGCAGTAATGTATTTGTAGAGATGCTTATTTAAGCACAACCAGATGGAAATAATTGTCTTATAAGTAAAACAGGAACAGGTTTGTTTAGAACTGCTGTTGGAGTTTTGATTTAATTTATTAATGACTACATTTGGATAAGTAAACTAAATAAATGGGATTAAATATCAAACTCTATATTGTTACAGTAAAGGAAGTGAGCTGGAAAATTGTTGTTTTTGCAGATTTGCTGTAAGATTTTCCTCATAAAATAAGACCTTTCTAGGAAAATCTGTGACTCTTTTTCAGCCACTTAGCTCAAATGAGATTGCTTCCTCTGCTGTCTAAATCTAGCTCTCACAAACACACAGAGAGAGATGAACTGTTACCTTTTCCATCCTTTCACAGTGAGGGTTAAATCCTGGACGCGCCGCTGACCATCGGTGCTCTGCAGCAGAACTTTAATGGAGTCTGGAGTTCCCCGTTTGTCCTCTATGAATGTTTTTTCTCTGTGCCCATTCACAACGTTAGAAATAATTGATTCTGCAAATGAGACGTCAGACCTATCAGGCCTTTTTCCCCCATGTGTCATCTACATATTGCTCGATGAAAGTTCTCCACAGTGCTTTTTAAGACCAGGCTGGTAAACTCTGAAAGGATATCATCAAAATACCACCTCCCCCAAAAAAACCCAATCTTTAAATAATCTACGGGCTTTTGTTCATTCTTGCAGTACAAGAAGTCATTTGGTGCAAAAATGAAGAATTTGGAATCTTATGCATATTTTATGGCAGAGTGTAAAGAGCGATCTGGAAGAAAAATGTTTAAGATTCAAAGTGATTTAAAAAAAAGCTACAGCTTCACTCTGAAAAACTGCCTTGTTGACCCCCAAAAAGTGTAGGCTACTCCACTATTAACTTTCTGCATAACATTCTTAATGTTTCGTCCCAGGACAAAAAACACGTTAAAATAAAATCCAGAGCACTGATTTGGAATAAAAAAAAGAACAAAAATGAAGATAGATTATTCAAACTTCCCATTAGAGTCTGAAATCCTCCTGGACAAGGTTGTCTGTGAGCAAAACTAGAGCTAATTCCAGGAAAGATGTTTCCCTTCCTCCCGTGGTGTAGCTGATCCAACAGATGCATCTGAAGCCTTAGCAGTTCCCATTTTATGTTACCTGGGAAATTAGCAACAGGCACACTACTGACATGGAAAACACTTACTTACCGTAAGTTAAGTGGCCAGGAGGAAATTGTTAAATGGACCAAGATTACCACAGAGGAGATCAGTTGATGGCGCCATGTTTTTGCTTGGCAAAATGACTGGTAGATGAAAAAGAAAACAGTATTATTGATTTTAAAAAACCGTCTTGTATTTTTATTACGACTTCTCAATTAGCTTAGACATTCTTCAGAAAGCAGCAACCAGACAATAGCAGATTTTAAAGTTTTTGAAGCATTAGGACAAATTAGTTAAAGGACTCAAATGAAATTACTGCATAAAAAATCCTGTGCAAACAAAATAACCGAATATTTACAGGGAGTGAGAACATCAATGATAATAATATTATTATTATTTAATATTATAGATTATTATTATTATTATTGCTGTTGTTGTTAACATTAATAGAGTATTTATTAGTAACCCTGAAAAATATTCAGAGGAAAAAAATAACAAAAATGTTCTTTTCCCTAATTTGGAACAAAATATAATAAAGTGGAGCATCCTCTGTAATGAGCAAATGCCTTTAAAAATTCTATTCCATATTTAGTTTAGTTTTCTTTTCCCTCTTCGTAGTTTTCAAGTCCTCAAAATCCTCCAAAAGGATCTGGCGCGCTTTTATTAACGCAGGCGGAGCCGTTTTCCCAAACACGGAAGTGACGTCAAAACGCTCATGTAGATGGGAACGTCTACTGGTTCTGACGTGGAAACTGATTACTGAAGTACAAATTCTCCCTTTGAGACAACACTGATAATTCTTGCAGTCACGCTGTAGAGCCTCTTGTTGATCTTTTTTGTTGTTCTGGTTTAAATCGGGTGTTTCGCTGCTGAATCTTCCGGTGAGTTTGGCTCAGGCCTCTTCTACAATGTAGCATATCTGGTTAGCTTATTTAACTCATGAAGCTGAATTAAAACGGGTTCGTCTTTACAAATAAACAAAAACATACAAAACAAGTTACCAGAAGCTAAGTCAAGCAAACAGCCTGCTAGCTGTCAGTACTTTCGCTCGTAAGCTAAGTCTGTTTCGCTTCTAGCAAGTTTAGCAGGGACGCTAACCAGCTGCTGGCTAACAGGTAATACTCTCGTGATTGTGACCGCTCTACAGACCTGAGCTGATCCGGTGGTATCATGAAGCTCTACAGCCTCAGCGTCCACTATAAAGGGTCGACCAAAGCCAATCTCCTGAAAGCGGCCTATGACCTGTCATCCTTCAGCTTCTTCCAGCGCTCCAGGTGCCTCCCAGTATTTACGTATAGATTAAACGCTCTAGTCTTTGTTGGTGTTAATGGTGTTTGAAGTATTTGGTACTAAAACTCTGTCAAACGCCTAAACTCGTGGATCACATATCATACTTGCTTACTGTTTTCATTAGACTACCATCAGTGATGATGTTTTATTTTGTAAATTCAGTGTTCAAGAGTTCATGACCTTCACCAGTGCACTGATTGTTGAACGAACATCTCAAGGAACCCGTGCCTCCGTCAAAGAACAAGGTAAGGCTGGTGTGGTCCGTTTTAAAGACTTGTATTTGATCTTCTACCTGGTCATGACGACAAAACCATGTTGGGTTCTCAGGAGTAAGAACAAGAGTGTAAAGGATCTTTTAGATGTTAAGAAAAACATTGATGTTGAGGTTATTTTCTACATGTTTTCTCACTTTTTTCTGTCAGTTTGAAGTTGAGAATAAAGACATAACGCACAAAGTAGCAAATGAAGCTTCTTTGTTTATCCATAACTAAAGAGAAACAAAAATGTGGAATTTTTAAAATAAATAAAAATACTAAATATTAGTATTTTAAAAAGCTTATTTTTTTCTTGGTATTTCATTAAGATATACATATATATATATTTTAAAATGTTGGCTTATATAAATATTTCATAATTATTCTTAAAAATAGTAGCTTTAGTCCTCGCTGTATCAAAAAGCACGAACTGCCCATCCTGTATTGATCGTGACAGATTCCCTTTTGCATTATTTTGCTAAACATCAATATTTATTTCAGAGTCCCAAAGATCCTCAGTGGGTTTCAGGTTGGGAATCTGGTGTCCAGAATAAAATGATGTCTCATGATCCCTGAACCAGCCTTTCACAGTTGACATTGTTATATACATTTATATATTGTATATTATTTATTTATTATTTATTTGTTTGCTCTGTTAAATCCGGCTTGTGACTTGTTTTTGAACAGGCAGTGTTTGATCTAAACGTGGCTGAGTGTCAGTAACTGGATGTTAAACTTTCTACATGGCCTAGTGGTAGAGTGTCCACCCTGGGACTGGGAGATCAGGTTCAGATCCCAGGCAGGTCATGCCAAAGTCTTTAAAAATGGGACCCAATGATTGACGCTCAGCTTTAAGGGGTTGGATTGGGGGGTTAGACCACCAAATAGTTCCAGAGCACAGCCACTGCTGCAGCTCACCGCTCCCCACGTGCTGCAAACAGGATAGCCGTCCTCTATCAGCTGTCCCTCGGCATTCTTCAAATATCCAAAAGATGCCCGTACTTCCCACTTTGTCTTCTTTGAGGGATAATAAATGTCCTGAGCGCTGCCGTCTCCTCCTTTGGCCATTATTTCAGCTTTAGCTTCAAGAAAGTTTTGGTTGTAAACAACAAAGTGCGCATGTGCCGCCGGCAACTTCAGCAGATGATACGGTGGCTGGTAAGGGTCACGGCGCCTACACCGCAGCCACGGTGATCCACCGAGATGATATAGTTTTTAAACAAGACGGTTATTGTTACGTCCCCGACGGGTGTTGTAAGAATGTGAAGGATGGGGGTAACATAAGAACTGGCGGAGGAGTTTAAAATGGGTTTAATGGTAACAAAAAGGTATTAAAAAAAAAGCAAACAGATCTCTCTAAAAGGTTAACATTACACAGCAAATTATCAACTATAAAACACCGGGTTAAAACTTATATTAAAAGCTTCACCACACGAAGGTGCTTAAAAACCGAGGTCAGTAAAATTGCACAAACCAAGTTAACCTTAAAACCAAACAGCCAAAAAGATCCCACTGGATCGTCCAGAAAAACTTATCACCAAGAGTTCAAAACTGCCAAAGTTTAAAACTCGTCCAAACGAAAGGGGTTGAAAACAAACAAAACCGGGAGGACAGCAGAACCCCTGCACTGCTGAGGGCACAGCCCTTTTATCCAGGTGTGGGTCATCAGGTAGATTCCTCGCAGCTGTGCTCCTCAGCAGCCCGGGAGAGACGAGGAGGAGGGGCGGTGTCAGGCTGCTTCTCTCCACTGGCCACACTGGCAACCGTAACAGTTATTATTACTGTCAACTTCTTTTACCGGGGTTTACCGCTACACCGGTTACCGTGACAACCCGAGATTTGACTTATTTCCACTTCTGCAGAGTACCTGTGCCATGTGTACGTGAGAAACGACAACTTGGGTGGTGTGGTGATCGCAGACACTGAATATCCACAGAGGGTCTGCTTCACGCTGCTTGAAAAGGTGAGTAAAACGTTTAGCGTGCTGCTGCAGCGCTTTGCTCTGAACAGCAGCTTTTAGACTGCTCTGTCTCTCAGGTATTAGATGAGTTCTCCAGGCAAGTGGACAGTGTAGACTGGCCATCCGGGAGTCCTGACACCGTCCACTACAAAGCTCTGGACATTCACCTTTCTAAGTACCAGGTTAGTTAAACGGCGTCACACACCATCGTGTATTTTATCATATTTGTGGCTTTTTATGAATCTCGTCAAACAGATTCTTACAGCTGATCATCTGTTTCCCCCTCAGAATCCCAGAGAAGCTGATGCAATGACCAAAGTGCAGGCAGAGCTGGATGAGACCAAGATCATTTTGGTAAAATACGTTCACATTCTTTAAAGGCCAGCTCCTCTGCGAAACTTTTATTTTATTTGTTTGTTTACTTCTTTTTGAAAGTAAGTCACTGAGAGTTTAGGATGCAGGCTGAAGAAGAAAATAGTCTCTTACACCTATTTCCTGCTTTAGCTTCTGATAGAATACAGACAGAAAAACGCTCGGGTGTGTAGTCGTGCACACGCATCAGCGGAGACGTTCGCCTTTCAGACCTCTCCATCGCCTGGACTGTTGCCAAGCAGTTCCCCGTTGATGGCTCTGCTGTTGACAGATTTAAAGGAAGTGGCATCCTGATCAATGGCAGACTTGCGGTTTCTGTTGTTTTCAAAAGAAAGTAAAAAATGTGGGCGTGTCTCCGTCACCCTCTTTTCAGGCTATTGCATCAGCGGATGATGGCGGCGCTTCGTCTCCATCACAGAGCTGATGTAAACATATAGACTAGGCTGTAGGAGTCTGAGCCGCGGCTGTGGTTCGATGGCAAATGTGTCATCGTGTTGGAATGTGACAGGAGCTGTTTAACCCTCGGGGGTCCGTGGACGCGCATCCGCGTCTTTAACAGGTCTGATTTGGGACGCTGTAGCAGCAAGACTCCGCCTCCCTGAGTTTCGGTTTCAATTCAGCTTTAAAAAGGAGATTTTAAACTACACCCCAGTTTTTAAATGTTGTTAATAGGCAACGTAAAAGCGGAGTTATGCTAAACTAAAAAAACGACCTATTTTTAGACAATCTGATAACTTGTCAAAACAGCAGTTTAATGATCCGTGAGAGGGAACGTGCTTGTGAACATAAAAACATGAGATCCTGTTGCTGTTGGTGGAAGTCTCACATATTCAGCTGATAAAAAGCATCATTATGTAGCTGAGAGAGAGAGGAAGGCTGCACGAGTAACGAGGTGTGCGCCAAAAGGAGCCGCTTGGCGGGGAAAGGAGTGGCGCCAACGGAGTAACAACAAACAATTAGACAGATATTGACGGTAAACTTCATATTTTGGAGCGATCCGGACAGATATATCGTCTCTGCAGTTTAGTGGGCTTTTATTAGGCTTTAATAAAGGATGATGAGAAGGATAAATGTCCACCAGGCAGGTCAGATAGTACGGCTGTTTTTGGAACTGGAAGCAGAGGAAGTGGGCGGAGACTCACAGCCGGAGTTTGAGGCAAATAGCGAGGATGTTGATGACGATGTGGCAGATTCATCCTTCCTCATAGAAGAGTTGGGTCATGATGAGGTAGAGGATGACGGCAGAGATCCAGCTCCTCGGAGATCCAACGAGACGAGTGGGCGGCGCCGCGCAGCTGTCAGATCTCGATCTCCGCGGCGTGAGACAGAGCCACTCCCCACTCCAAAATGCATGTACATTATTGCCAAATTAATAAAATTAGTATAAATTCAGATAGTCCAGACTGTCCTGAAAAAAATGATGCCCCATAAGGCAAAATTTGTTTTTACTAGAAAAACCAAAATGAGTCAAAAACGGTGATTTACATCCTGGACCCCAGAGGGCTAATAATTTATTTTTAATGTGTTATTTGCTATATTTATTCATATATTTTTTTTATAAATGTACAGCCTAAATTACCATTCTAAATTATAAAAAACATTCGTCATAAATGTTTGTTGGTTTCACAGTAAAATAAACAACTTTTTTCCTATTCGGATTTTATGTTTTTGAGTGATTTAAGGTCTAATATGCAACCCCTTTATGTCCAAATATAAAAAATAAGTATAAATCCATAAAGTCCAGGTTGTGCTGAAAAGATTGATACCACATAAGGCAGTGCTTATGGCTTTTATTTTGGAAATACAAAAGAAAACTCTAAATTAGTCAAAAACGGCAAATTACACCCTGGAGCCCAGAGGGTTGATCTCTAGGTGGTGTGTTTCACATCCTGTCAGACGTCAACATCCAGAGCCTGTGGCTTTAAGAAGTAGGCTTTAGCGGTTTTCTCTGGATAATTCTGAATCCTAATCTCTGCACTGTTTCACGTATAAACTCTCTGCAGCACAACACCATGGAGAGTCTGTTGGAAAGAGGAGAGAAACTGGATGACCTGGTTGCGAAGTCAGAGCACCTGGGAAATCAGTCCAAAGCCTTCTACAAGACCGTAAGTCCCGTCGGCTCGTCTCGTTTCACGTCCAACTCTGACCTCGTCTGCTTCTGTTTTAAAACTCTGGTTTTTCTGTCGACCCTTCAGGCACGCAAACAGAACTCGTGCTGTGAAATCATGTGATGCTGCTGCCTCGTCCTCGTGGGGACAACTCTCTGCCTTTCTGCTTTTCCTACAACCCCCATCATGCACCGGCTCTCCACCGGGACGGAGCGCCGGGATGAGAGCAGAACGGGGTGGCCAGTTTCAGCGGGGTGACTGATGGGGGCTGCAGGAGTGATGGGGTTTGGTCGGGGGAAGGAGTGAACATCTGTGTGCTGTTTCTTACCAACTGAGGACATTATAGCGTGACGTTATGTGCTGGTGATGTCATCGACACCTTTTAAACCCCTTTGATGTTATTCAGATCGAATCAAAAGCTAATCGCTTGATCTCTTAAAACACTGAGCGAGTATTAACCACACTTGTGCTTTCTGCTTCATGATAACTGACAATCTGGTGACGTCGCCGTTGAACTTTTGGAAACTGGTTTTCTCCTTACCCCGTTTGCCCACTAGGGGGCTCTGTTTATTTACATCACCGCTCTAATGAAGCCTCGGTGTTTAACGCGGTCTTCTAAACAACTTGGATGTTTGACATCAGACTTTTACATATTTTAATTAACATTGAGCTGCTCTGCATTTACTTACACAACTGCTTTGTTTTCTTTTTCGGTCTATTTAACGATGTTAGATGAAGTCTTCAACATTCCTGTTTGGATGAGTCTGTGATAAGCTGATAATGTGGACAATTAGCTGTAAAATGTTTGGAAACTCCCAGTTTTGTTTGTCCTCGTTTGCAAAGAGTTCCTGAAACTTCTGATAAGAACTCACTTAAAGCTGCTGTCCTGGATTTTGTTCTTGTACCTCTAAATCCAAGAAGCACTTCACCCTTAAAAACGGAGGTCATTCTGGGAGGTCTAGGTGCTCGTTTCATTTTCTGCACTCTAGTCATCTTGAATGGGTATGATAATTAAAAATGGGACAGGAAGTACTCAGTAATAGCACATCTGGCTTTTACAGTCGCCCTACAGCTGCCATTCTTCATTTTCTTTACACGACTGGAGAAAACGTCATTTCAAGAGTCCGTGCCTTTGGTTGTGTGTTTTCGATGTTTCTCTGACGTGTGTGTGTGTGTGTGTGTGTGTGTGTGTGTGTATATATCGCTGATACTCTTCCAACCTCCAGCTGCACGCTGTGTTAATGCTGAGAAGATTGTGCAGTCTCTGCTTTCTGTTGTGTAAACTTTGGTGCAACGTCTGCAGACTGTTTCTTTAACATGAAGAGGAATATATATATATATATATATATATATATATATATATATATATATATATATATATATAAATTTTCATAAGTTACAAACCTTGCATGCTTTTTCTTTTGACCAACTCCAAGCTTGTCCAGGGTTGATTTTCACTTTTTTGTCTTTTGAAAACTTCCAACTGTATTATCAGATCTCGACTGTTGCTTGTTGCAGCTCCATGTGCAGCACATATTTTTTGAAAATAAAACCTGTAACTTACTTTCTGTAAAAACACTACTCTTGCTTAGATAAAAAGCATAAATGTCTGATGTATGGTTTCATTTTTTTTTATTCGTGTGCAAAAGTCAGTTATAGTGAGCTGTTGGCTTTCTGAGATGAAGCTAATAAAGCTTTTATTTTAATTTAAAAATAATAAGATAGCTTTAATTTGAATATAACACATTTCATGCATAGTTCGATGCGCTTTCCAAGAAGGAAAAACTGAAAACAACTTTTAAAATAAACGGGACAACATAAGTTACTAATAATGCAAGATAATTAAACACATCCGTTCTTTTCATTAGGAAAACAGATTAGCTGAATAATTTGATCCAGTCCGGTGCAATCAGCGATAAACATCTGTGTTTGTGGAAAATCCGAGTTTTGAAGGAGCTCTTGAACGCAGCACAGAGGGCAGCGTGAGCGTGCAGCTGAAAGTGAGAAGGACAGTTCGGAGTTTCCGACGCGGGAAATATGTGATCGAGGATGGAAAACAGGAGCTTTGTTGTCGTTAATGAAAGTTCCAACTCACAGGTGAGGAGCTAAAGGACACTAACAAAGGATTTTCTGCCAAAAGAAGCGCGAATCTTTGGGGAATCCGCGTTAATTCACCTTTAAAACCTAAACATGACGTCACTGAAGTTATTTAAAATTTCACGGTTAAAACTGAACTAAACATTTAATAAATACGTGTCTAGCAAAGTATTTGTATTCTTTGCATGCTTGTCTTATCTTTTCCACGGTCGCGACGCTGATTTTCCTGCTGTGGACTTCCTGCAACAAGTTTCCATTTGCAGCCCGACTTGATTAAGCCCAAACTCCGTCTTATCTCAGGATTTATCTTTGGTTTAATATTCTAGTTGATAGAAGTGACTGGTTTCAAACTGACATCCTTAATGAGGAGTGATGTTTTTTACTTTTCAGGTGGTTCTCGGAGAGCAGCTTGTGCACCAACAGAGCAATGGTGAGCTACATCATTTGTTCTTTGTGATTCTTAGAAATCAATTCAGGCTCATCAGGGTGGAAAGTGCAAACTATCTCTGTGGGTCTTAATGATTTAACATCTTGTGGTTCACAGACCTGCAGCAAATAAAAAGGCTTTAGGTTAAAGTCTTTGTTGTGGAGCAAAGTCCATTATTCCCACAGCCAGTGTGCGGAGATCCCATAAATACAACTTATTTAATGTGACCTATGAGAAAATAAAAGATATTAACATTTTTCTGTGTTTAATTAGGTTTACAGCAAGGAATAGAAAGGTGTTAGAAACAGAACAAGAGTTAACTCGTGCTTTTTCTTGCAGAAACAATGAAACCAGCGTTCCTTTGGAGCATTTTTGTGCTCCAGATTTTACAGAGATGTAGTCTTTACTGATTGTAATGATTTTAAGGATTTATGTGTGTGTCCCCCAAGTTTCCACTGCAGCTGCTACTTGTGCTTCGTGCACAGAGGACCCACTAACCAGGACCAGTGGGATCATCCCTGGTGAGCAGACGTGTTTATAGTTGTGCGTTCGGTTGAAGCCATTACAAACCGTGGTTGAGTCAACAGCAAACAGAAACAGGCCGTTTCCTTTAAGCAGCTTAAACCACTAAATAAGGGAGAGGCTCATAAACTGGGAGTCAAACAAGGCAGAAGATCAGTTTTCAGTGAGTAATTTAAAAAAAGCTATAATACATCATTTAGTTCATTTTTTACTTTTCATTTTTAATCTTAATTTTAACCCATTTTTTAATTATGATCACGGTTTTTAAAGCAGTTTTATGGTTTTTGTGAAGCACTTATCTTAAGTATAAAAATCCTTTCATCTTTTTGGCTAAATAAATATAATTTTCCTAAAATTCTTTCACACTTTAACTTTATAATCACTCAAACGCTTCTGTTTGCTTTTGGGTCCGGGACTTTGGACCTGTTTACTGCTAAAGCATTAAAATCTTAGGCCTGACTATAAAAACAACCCCCATGTCAGGAATGCTGCTTTCATTTTATTCTTGCAGAATGAAGCGGCTGCATGTTTTTAACCCTCCCACTGTCCTAATGGGTGTGACCCCGCGAGGGAAGCTGACCATTGAGCAGGATTGATGGTTTATCCTTTGAGGTCCATGTGGCAGGGGTGAGGTGGTGCTCACTCCTCACCCCTGCCACATGGACCATTAGGACAGTGGGAGGGTTAAACGAGCATCCATGGAGTAGCTTTTGTTTTATATGAAATTAGGGGCGAAGGTGGCACAGGAGTTAAGCGCTCGCCCCGTAATCGGAAGGTTGCAGGTTTGAGTCTCGCTCAGTCTGTCGCTGTCGTTGTGTCCTTGGGCCTGCTGGTGGTGGTCGGAGGGACCAGTGGTGGCAGTGCTCGGCAGCCCCGCCTCTGTCAGTGCGCCCCAGGGCAGCTGTGGCTACGTCGTAGCTCATCACCACCAGTGTGTGAATGTGTGTGTGAATGGGTGAATGACTGGTTGTGTTGTAAAGCGCTTTGGGGGGTTCCATGGCTCTAGAAGGCTCTATATCAAATACAGACCATTTAGGTTTAAGCGTCTTCTCGTTCATGTTTTGTGCCGTTAGGTGCCATCGCCGCAACGGTGTTCATTGTTTTTCTGCTCGGCCTCTATGCTGTTCTCTGGAAGTGCATGATGTCACCGCCACAAAGGTAAAAAAAATAAAAATGCATGTTGTAACTTTTTTTTTGCAGATTCAGTTCATTTATTTTTAAACGTGATGATCATGCAAACCGTTTGTGCCTCTGACCGGTTTGAACTTTGCTCTCCAGCTCATCACAAACTCAGCTGCACAGATTCTGCAGTTTTTTATCGATAAATGAGCCATTATGTTGTAAATGTTCTGGTTTTAATAACAAAAAATATCTTTTTCTCACTCAGAAAGAAAAGGAAGGTGAGGACGAGAGTAAAGCAAAAGGCTCCCGTTTGAAAAGGTGGACGTCGTCTTCAGTTTAGCTCTTTAAAGACGTGGATGGGAATCAGAAAAGACTCTTAAATCCATCCACAAGGACTCCAGCAGGTCGTCTCAGAGCTTTGTGATGGATGCGGAACAGTCTTTAGCAGGTCAGAGGTCACTCAGTGGGTTTCCTGTTTATTTAATACTACTGAGGAGGGAGCTGCAGCTCACAAAGGCACTACAGAGAGAGAGAGATTATGTTAAAATTTGGTGTTTCATAAATTCAAGCAGCCATTTTTAGTAGTATTGTTTTTGCACAATTTGAATAGCGCCAGCATTGGGTGTCGGACAAAAATCTATTTATTTATTCTGCTCCTAAGTCTAGAAATCAAATAAAGTCAAATAAAGTTCAGAGTTTTATAAAATATTCTATATTACAGGTTTTTCTGTATCTGCTCTCAGACGGACTCGATGGTAATTTTTGTGAGCACATTTAAGGTTTTTTAGTGTTAATATCAAATGTTCATGTTGTCTTCAGATGCTATGCTAACGCTACATAATTTAAAGTCATGCTTCAACACTGAATGTAAACAAAGTCACTGGTACACTAGATAATCGTGCTGTGTTAGCTGCTAAATATGAATTAGAATTAACATGAGAAGCTTCCCCTTTTTTAAACATTCAGAATACAAAATTTTTATTCAGTATTTTTGCTTTTTATTTGATAACAAATTAAACAATTTTAGATTACTCACAAAACTTTTTTTTCCAAACATATTTTAGTAAATAAACTGTTTGGGCGGATGGCAATGTGATCGTAGTAATAATTGTTTTTTTTTTTTTTTTTTTTTTTTAATTTGCTGAAATTATTCCCATTTCTCTGGATGTTTTTTCTACTGATTTGACTTTAAATGATCCAATAAAGTCTAACTTGTTTTTTTTTTATGTGTTGGTCACCCTAACAGGGTATCCGCGGGTCCTTAAAAAGTGTTAAAAAGTCTTAAATTAGCTTTTCCTAATTTAAGGCCTTAAAAGTCCTTAAAAATGACAAATAATCCTTAAATCCAGTTTCCAAAGGTCTTAAATTACCAAAGACCCAATAAACAAGATTCTTTTATTTCTATGAAAATTTCGTGAATTTCTAGTTCAGCATTTTTTGTGTATGATTTTGGCGTAAGCGGAACCGTACGCAGTCAGTTGGTTGTGAAAGGGGGCTATTTTTTTAGATGAGCACATTAGCTGGTTAAGCTAGTGGGAGCTTGCACCATGGGGAAGTGCAAATTTAATGGTAAATGGATGGCTAATCCCACGTTCGCGACGTTGTTAGCACCGGCTCCAGGCAATAGCTGGAAATTATCGCTTAAATTTAATTTTTAAAATAGCTTAAATTTGGTCAAAGTGGCCTTAAAAAGTCTTAAATTTGGCTCCCTTAAATCTGCAGATACCCTGCCTAACCTCACGAAACATGTTTTTGCCCCACAAATAAACTCAAATGTGGTAAAGTGGTGCTGCTAAAGCAGTTTAAATTTGATGCCGTCCTAAAAACATCGAGGACTTCTTCTGCTGTAGCGCAAGAACCCATCTGAGTTAAACTACTGAACCAGGTAGTTTGACCCTCATTTCGACCATTTAGACAGTTGGCAAACTCAGCAGCTGGAGGTGGGACGCCACATAGTTCAAAATACTCTGGTCAGTGATCGGCATCAAATATCAGAGCATTCGTGTCCTTCCGTTGGGGTTCTGCATCACTGGATCAGTCCTGCAGCTGTTGACCCGCCTGTTTATCCTCCTGTCTGCGTCGTTGGTTCTGCCATCCTCACCCCCCTGCAAACTCCAAACACTTCTTTGTTTCAGAACTGGTTCTGCAACTTTTTATTCCAGTGCAGCAATGAAAAATTGTGGGGGGGAAATCAGCTGACAAGTTTGCAACAATATCTTCACAACTTGTTCCAGATTGAAGAAGAAGAAGAAAATATCATTTCTATAGCGCCTCTCAAGATAAAAATCACGAGGCGCTTCACAAAAACAAAAATTGTAAAAATATAAAAAAGCATTTAGAAAACTTAACTGTCTATTTTAGCTCATTTTAAATATATATTTTAAACAGACAGTTAAGATTAAAAAAATGTTAAGAAAGAGAGAGAGTGAACAGGAAAGAGGGAAACCAGTGGATCCTGAGGAAGGTGGAATAGGTGGGGAGAGCAGAATAAAGAGAGAGAGGTGAAGAAGGTCATACAAAAGCCAGCTTGAACAAGTGAGTCTTCAGCTGCTTTTTAAAGGAGACCACTGAGTCCACTGATCTCAGGCTCAGGGGGAGAGAGGTCCAGAGTCTGGGGGCCACAGCAGCAGATGATCTGTCACCTTTGACCTTTAGCCTGGTGCTGCACAACCAGTAGGCTTTGGTCACTGGACCTCAGGGACCTGCTGGGGGTGTAGGGACTAAGAAGATCACCAATGTAAGATGGTGCTTGTCCATGTAAGGCCCTATAGACCAGAACCAGGATCTTGAAATGAACCCTGAAGGTGACTGGCAGCCAGTGAAGCTGGAGGAGAAGCGGGGTGATGTGGGTGTGTTTGGAGGACTTGGTCAGAAGCCGAGCACAGGCGTTCTGAACCACCTGTAGACGGTTCAGGGAGGTTCTGCTCAGACACGTGAAAAGAGAGTTACAGTAGTCTAAGCGTGAGGAGATGAAGGTGTGGAGAACTGTCTCAAGTTCAGAGCGGGACAGAATGGGACTCAGCTTAGCAACGTTCCTGAGATGGAAGAAGGAAGAGCCAACAAGAGAACTGGCATGAGAATCCAGGGTGAGAGCTGGGTCAAAGGTCACGCCAAGATTCCTGACAGAAGGTTTGGTGTGGGAAGCAAGCACTCAATGTAGACAGCGCCGTAATCTAATGTGGGAGATGAATGTTTTAGTTGTGCAGAATGTGCACCGCTATCACCGTTTCTACCCAAAAGTCAAGTTTCAGCACTTGAAACTGCAAAGGACTAACCGGTAGATAGTCACTGATGTTTACATGCAAATATGAAACTTTTGTGAAGTTTATTATTTAAAACATATGCAGCATTTATCTACAGCAATCTGAGAGAAATCCAACTTGCATTACTAACAGGTTCTGATGTAACGTCACTTGAAGTTGAACAAATACAATGGTGTAATGGCTGGAAGGAATAAAAGTTGGTTTATGTAAAAAATGAATACAAATGTGCTTGAGCTGCAAAATAAACTGGTTCAGCGCATCAGAAACCTGGAGCACAGCGACGTGTTGCAGCATGCAACGGGAGTTTCAGTGAAACTAAGGCTAAGCTGAAGTTGTCAACAGAGGAAATGGTATTTTATCTTTACTGTCAGAAGAAAAGCAACAAAAACTGTTTAGTGGGAAATCCAAATACTTTTCTCCTAGACGCTCATTTTGTTTTTGTCTTTTCTGGATCATAAATCCTAGAAAAAAGATCAAGTTTAGCATTTTCCTATAATAACATCTTTATTTCCTGTAAGTAAACAATTTTAAATGTCATAAGATCTAAATACCAAATGTTTATTTTTTTGGTAAAATAGATTAACTTTTCACCCTTTCACCAAAAATAGCTTCATAACATTTTCAGATAGTCTTGCGCCATGACTGTCATACCCGTCACTGGTCCCTGTTACATCCTGTAGATACGAAGGTCTACTTCCTTCAGCAATTTTTATAATCTTCCCACTATCTAGTGATCTGGTGCTTCTGCAAACAAATTCTTCCAGAAGACACCAAAGCATGGTTGAGACTGTTTGAGTTTGGCTACAAGCTTAGGGAAGCCTGTTGTAGCTTCTGTGGTATTTACGGTTTCACTTGAAAATGAAAAGTTAAACACAAGACATGTTTGTGGTTTTAGCTTTGCTACACTCATCAAGTCTTTGATATATAACCATAGATGATGACACATGATTCCTGCTGAAGGTCTGAGGGCTCTAGGCTTGTTTGACCTAATGTGACCTCATGATGCTCAGAGTGATGTTCGGCCATGGTGCTTAAGCAGCTCCTGTCCCTGATGTCTGTCGCTTGCTGCTGGGTTGGACAATCGCTGACCATCATGGCCACCTGTGGACGATATTCTGTTTCTACTGGCAGACAGGAACGCGATGGAGGAGACGACTGGGAATCAGGACATCTCAGAAAGTCTGTGAGGTCTGGAACCTTCAGCTTGGTCATCTCAGGTTTGTTATTCAAGATTTCAATTTCACAGCTCATGCATTCCTCCACCTTCTGAGCCTGCAGCTTCTGGTCCATCTGTGGAAATGCAGACCAATGTCACATTTGCAAATCTAAAATAAAATGCAAAAGGTTTTCTAAAGAATAAGTTTGTAATCTGTTGGGGTTTCAAAAGATTTTTAGCTTTTTTTGCAACATAAACTCAAAGTACTGCATCTCTGATCAAGAATCAAAATCAAGACCTGGTCGGGATAATGATAACGGTAGCTCAGGTTAGCATTAGCAGCAGCTCAGGGATTGCAGTAGCTCGGGCTAGCATTAGCATTAGCTCAGGGTAGTAGTAGCAGTAGCTCAGGCTAGCATTAGCAGTATCTTGGGTTAGGGAGTACAGTAGCTCAAGATAGCTAAAGCAGTAGCTTGGGCTAGCATTAGCAGTGTCTTGGGAGTGAAGTAGCTCAGAATAACAATAGCAGTAGCTTGGGCTAGCAGTAGCATTAGCTCAGGGTAGTAATAGCAGTAGCTCAGGCTAGCATTAGCAGTATCTTGGGTTCGGGAGTGCAGTAGCTCAGGATAGCAATAGCAGTACCTTGGGCTATCATTGTTCCTCCATGGTTAGCATTGGCGTGACCAACGTATGTATTGCCAATGCTGAAGTGGGTAGGAACCATCGACATGTATATACTGTAGGAACGTGCTAATTTAAGAGGGTGCCTAAGCTTACGATGTGTTAAACCAGCTTTTCTCAAATGATCCGTTTCTCTGTGCCCATTTCAAACATTAGTCATTAGTGGGAAAGCAGTTTAGAGACCGCACAGACTTATGCTACATTAGACACCCCAAGCTGCCCATACTCAACAACAATACGGTAATGTGGTTTTCAATTCTAGGTCCACTTTCATGGTAGCATCCTTCTTTGCTGGTCATCATCCATTGAGCTCTGATTTGTTCAGATTACATGATGTGAGACAGGATGAAACCATTTCAGCCTGACGTGTTCCTAGGTACTCATCCGCCTACAGACAGGGTAATAACCTTGTGCTCATCCTGTAAGTACTCATACTGTAACCTGAAAGTGGATGAATTTATCCTTACCTCACGCAGGAAGCTGTCAAACTCAGGAGTTTTAATGTTCATTCCCACTGGATAAGTATAGACCTCCTTCAGTATGTTCTTTAGCCTGTAGGGAACACACAGACTCCAGATAGTCTTGTTTAATAAAAATAATCCAAATTCTAGTGACAGCATGAAAAACACACCACTCACATTTTCCGCTGTGGCCACAGGAGAATGGCGCAGCCGAGCAGGAGTAAGATGGGAGTCAGAATCTTCACCGAGTGAGACAAGTCTACCGAAGGAAACAAGAAGAGCTGTGTGTGCAACCAGGTGGTCAAAACATGCATGTGTGTGTGTGTGTGTGTGTGTGTGTGTTAGAGGGATGTTACAAAGCTTACAGTTGGTTCTGGTTCTGACTGTAATGCTTGCAGGGTGTCCAGGCCCCTCTTTAGTCAGAGCGCTCACAGAGCAGGTGTATTCCTGCTGCTGCTGCAGACCCTCGATGGTCACAGACCTCTGACGGGGGTCTCCCACTGACACGTTGAACAAATCTGGGTGCAAAATATAAATTTTATTTAACCCTCCCTGTCCTAATGGGTGTGACCCCGCGAGGAAAGTTGACCATTGAGCAGGGTTGATGGTTTATCCCTTGAGGTCCACGTGGCAGGGGTGAGGTGGTGCTCACTCCTCACTCCTGCCACATGGACCTCAAGGGATAAACCATCAACCCTGCTCAATGGTCAACTTTCCTCGTGGGGTCTGGGCGGTCATCAATCAGCAACTTTGCACTCACTTGCAGCCTGACCAGTCTGAGCATCAGACCCCGTTTCCTGCAGCGTAACCAGGTAACCGGTGATGAACGCTGGCTGAACTGGATCATCTTCATCATAACGCCACTCCAGAGTCACAGATGAAGATGTAATGTAAACAGGCTTGATCAGACTGGGGGATTGTACATGACCTGTGGAGATGGAGATTAGATCAGCTAGAATTACACCCAAAAGTCAGATTAACGTCTGGTTAACGTGGTTTTATTTACAGATTTCACCTGAATAGATAATAGTTATACATGTTCAACGTGGTCCAGATGTTTGGACCTTTAACGTTACAAGAAAAAACTATTTCCAGAAAAAACAAACTTGAAACGGGGCATAAAACAACGCTGCTTCAAATGGAGTCCATGTTTCAGTCACTCTTGTTTGGGGGAAAACTACCAGGACTACTAAGATTTCTTACAAATGTTTTGAAAATGACAAAATGACACAAGGAAGAGTGATTAATTAAAAATTTAAACTTTCAGATTTTTACATTCAAATGTCAATGAATTATAATAATAATAAAAGTCATACAGATGATCGTTTAGTAATCAGTAACAGAAATCTTTGTACAGTTTTGTACCCTAAACTTTTTTCCATACTTGCTATAGAAATTCAATCTGAGATAAACAAATCATAAACTAAAAACACAAATGTTTACAGATCATAATTAAATATAAGAAATAAAAGAAAAAACAATAACATAAATCTGATAAATATCATAAAAAATACAATATATAATGTCAATATATAAAATAATGTAATTTTAAATACATAAGATTGAATAATTTAACAATATATATATATATAATAAACAATTAAAATGTAATAAATAAACCCTCAAATAAGACTCACTGAGCTCCTGTGAGTATCCAGTTTGTATTTCCAGTAGCGTGTGTCCATTTTCTGAGCATCCATAGACATTAAATGTATACCTGCAGCCAGCTGTGAAATGACCTAAAAATAAAGAAATAATAAATAGAATAATAAATGTCTGAGGAAAAAAATGAAGATAATCTAAAGTGTAAAATAAAAGTAAAGCTCACTAGCAGGCAGGAATAAAGTGCTGTTTCCCTCTGGTGCCTTCTTCCACTGAACAGTACAGGGTGCCGTGTTTCCCAGAATGCACCACTCTACAGTATAACCACAGGTGACGGAGCTCTGCTCGTTCCACGACAAATAAAATTCACCGGCCGCGTTGCCGCCCACTCGCCTTTTTAATGGCACAATGCCTTGACAGTCAGGAATATCGGACATTCAGTAAAATTTCTGGGTCAAACTTTGACCCAAATGTAATTCATGTGAGTGTTAATGAACAGAAACCTAAAAAATTATAGAAATAAATTTTAAATCCATAGCAGGAATGGCACAGAGACATCACTAGATTGTGACCTAGCTTTTCCTTCACATTTTAGCTACTAGAAGTTGTCACTAGCTGTCATTAAACGTGCTCTGCAGATATAAAAATGCATCAGATTCACCTGTGTCGCCGTTTGGTGGGATGGTGATGGTGGCAGGGAGGGAGAAGCCGGTCGAAGGTTCGGCTTGAACAGAGATGTCACACCTACCAGAACCAACAAAGACCTCCGCCTGGTTCTGTCCACCATCCTTCAGTTCTGTTGAGACCTGGCCGTCCTGAGACCAGGTGAGGTTGTAGCTTTGGATGGTAACTTCAGATGCTTTACCAAAAATATGCTGACAATAAACCGAATTACTGAGGGTTGAAGGAAAATATTCTCCTGAAAGCAAAAATTTTGGATCCTGTACGGAAGTGTGGGGCTGCCATCCATGCAAAAATAAAATAAGAGCAATTTTATTGTTCTATCAATCAATCAATACTTTATTAATGCCAGAGGGAAATTAGAGTTTCAGTACACACAATCCAGAGATTCAGAGATGGGCAAGACACGTGACAAGAATTGGTGACTGTGGTCATTCGCAACCCTGAGTCGCGCTACCTTAATAGAGATCAGAGGGTTACATGAGGATTGGTTCAGGTGGAGGGAAAAAAGGCACTTCAGAGTTACCCTCCACCGGGAGGGCAGCTTTGCTCTGCAAACAAACACCTCAGACAGATATGCACCAGACTTCAGACAACGCAACATGTGTCCACTAGGTGGGGTGGTGGGTTGGGACTATCCACACTTCAGCTCCTGCAGCCATGATAAGCAGCGCATGTCACCTCAGTGTGGATAGGGGGAGGAGAATTGAGGGTTGGAGGGTTGCACTGACCCTGGAACGTTTCAGCAGCCTTCCCGCAGTCCCGCCCAGGCTGGGAAAGGAGACAGAGTTGAGTTGCCATAGCGACGGCACGTTCCGCATATCTTCTGAGGGGGGAGTTTTCGTTGGAGCCTTGCAGGCTCAAGGACGCCAGATTCCGATTAGAAATTGTTTTGGGGCCAGACAGAGATAATTTCCTCTCTGTCTTACAGTTTGTTGGTCCTCAACCTCTCAGAATCCCAATAATGGACATTAATCTATCCCAATCCGTGCTGATTCGTCCACTCTTTCCTTGATGGCATCCATCTTTTGTGCCAAAGAATGAATCTCCGCCAAAGTCCCAAGCTTACGATTCATCTAGACAATTATGTGAGTCTGTGAGTTCACAGCGCGGTGCAATCCATCTCTGAGCTCCGGGATCAGGCCAATATTCCTCGACAGCTCGTTAATTTTCCGGTAAGCCAGGAAGCCTCCAAGGCCAATGAGCAGGAATCCTGACACCAACACCACGAATATCCACACGTCTTCAGAGTCCTCCACAGACAGCTGAGATAAACAAATCAAGTTCCACTGTCTGCTGTGATTGGCTGGGCCAGAAATTGTTTGGGCCAATGGTAGACCAGCTGAGGCTCAACAGAGCACGGCTAGATGGACCTGCAGAGCTAAATCTTTAGCTACTGCTAAGATTTGTCTAGATTTCTAGGCTAAGAAGTTATCACATTATGACGTTATTATTTTATTGTTCAAACGATGTACTTATTTACAAATATAATTATGCTGTAAAAACATGATAGCATACTGCACAAACAGGAAAAGAAGAACACTTGTTGAACAATAAAATGATCTCGATAAAACATGATGTTGCTGTGATTTTATTTTGCTGGTGGCAGACCTAAGCTTCCGCAATTCTGATTATTTGTGTTGGAAAAAAGGCTAAACTTACCGGGCTCCATGACAGGGAAACCTGACGGCCGTCGGAGTTGGACAGATGTTGTATTCTTCTCCATAGGTCCAAGGTCACCAAAGAGTCTGAGGAGCAACACCATCAGTAGTTTAGTTCATTGCCGGGTTTATTTGTAGGTTTTGACATCAAACTTCACTGACTTTGGATTTGACCACATCCTGATTTACCTGTTGAGAAAACTACGGGCTGTGTCCATCCTCCCCAGAGTCTGCCACTAACAGAGCAGCGGGCCCTTGCAGAGTAACGCGTGCTGGGATGTAAATGCTCTAGTTTGGTCCTGCAGAGGCCGCTCACACTTTTGCAGATCAGCTGGTGCAAAAATACTTGAGGTTAAAGAGAATAAGATAGTTTAGGTGTTTGGTTTTTGGCTCAGCAGAATTACCTCTCTGGTGCTGTCTGAAAGGATTTCAGCCTGACAGAGGAGGCCGGTTTGAGTCAAGTTCCCTTGAACACTCCAGGACAAGCTGACGTCCGTCACTCCAGGGTTTACTCTGTCCCAGGCCAACACAGGAAGCACTAGAGATGCATTAGATAAAAGCTCATAAAGAAGTTGTGCAGCCATACTCTGTTAGTCTGGTTCAAACGTTTAACGACCTCTGTCAGAGATGTTGAAGTTGTAGATCTCCATCTCCTCTCCCAGCTGGTCCTTTACCACCACGCGGATGCGGTATTCCTGCAGCTGTGGCACAGCTGGGAAAGAGCAAAGCGACGACTTGCATTTGATGGGAGCTTGATGTGAGTTTCTGGGTTTTTAAAAATATAAAAGTCATACTTAGTAAACATCAAACACACCTCTCTGTAATGTCTGCAACCTCTAATCCTGGGAATGTATCGCCCCACTGAACCATTCACTGTGAAAACCAAACAAAGTGGACCAGGTAAAAGCATCCATGCCTCCAGGATTATAGGTAGTGTGTGTGTGTGTGTGTGTGTGTGTGTGTGCTGTACATGCTTACTCGATGTGGAGTACATATGTTTGCGTGTTGCGGTCAGACGGGGCTCGTTTCCTGCCCGAATCCCAGCTGCAGTTCACAGTTTTCATGTCTGATGTTGCACAAGTGATGTTCCTGGGCTTCTGAGGAGGAACTGTGGGTTGGAGACGGTTACTCACATGAAACACTTTCTGAACAGAATTAAAAGACAGGAAATGTGTCATATTTTAACTCACAGCTGATAAACTTCATGGAATGAACTTTCTCGCCCGTTGAGTCGCTGCAAGTGAGACTCCATGCCTTGACAAGAGTCGTTGGGATGGTCAGATGTTTTACAGAAACAGCTTTGACTCGGGCTCCAACGCTCAGAAGAGGGTACTGGTGGACACCGAAGGTGATCCTTGTGATATTGACTCCCTCTTTTGGGACACAGCAGAACATGACGGTGTCGCCTTCCTTTAGAAACTCTCGATTAGGAAATACCTGCGTCGCAGTTTTTGCCTCGACCCCTAAAAGTTAAGAAGCAGCATGCATGACGGATGTTCATGAGAGGAAGTGCAATGAGACAAATCCTGAGAGCTGGCGGTGACGTAAAAGCTAAGACTTTGGTTTTAGTTATTGCACCAAGTGTTTGTTGTTAAAGCAACGGATCGTTGAGAGACATTTGTGTAAGAATACGTGATGGAGAGCTAAACCCTGCTTATGTAGGAGATGCTGCAACCGGTGACAGCGCACATACAAAATATGCATGTTTCCTTTGTGTCTTAAACCAGTTAGGGATAAAATTAAATTAAATAAATGAATAAATAAGGCCTCACCATAGTTGGTTTTCCAGCTGCTCCAAGAACTCGAGCTGGTTTGATTACACAAAGTTCGTATCCTGACTGAGTGATCGGTGCACTCCAGAGGCAAATCAGAAAACCACGTCCACTTGTATTCACCCGAGGCTCCTGCCGATACACTCACACTCCCCTGGATTAACCAAAAAACGGTCTAAATTAAACATTTACTCCAAAAATAATTAAATAACTGCATAAGTTATGAAATGTTCAGGTTAAATTTAGTGTGTTTTAAAATCTGCTTTTAGAACGGGGAATTAAGTCATCATTATTATTATTTGGAATGGTCCATTTATCAATGTTAGTGCATTATTAAGCATTAATAAACAAAAGGACTTACATTCTAATCTTGAGGTTAGAACAAAGGGTTGGGGCGATATCTTATTCTTAACATTGACGTTCAATTCAATTCAATTCAATTTTATTTATAAAGCGCCAAATCACGACAAGAGTCGTCTCAAGGCGCTTCACATAATAAACACTCCAATTCAGGTCAGTTCATTAAGCCAATCAGAAATAATGTTTCCTATATAAGGAACCCAGCAAATTGCATCAAGTCACTGACTAGTGTCAGTGACTATACAGCAATCCTCATACTAAGCAAGCATGTAGCGACTGTGGAGAGGAAAACTCCCTTTTAACAGGTAGAAACCTCCAGAGAATCCTGGCTCAGTATAAGCAGCCATCCTCCACGACTCACTGGGGATGGAGAAGACAGAGCAGGCACACGCACGCACACACACACACACACACACACACACACACACACACACACACACACACACACACACACACACACACACACACAAAGGTAATGTGTCTATGGTTACATTGTGATTTCTTAGTAAATATTCTATTTTGTGAGAGATAAACTTTATTGTATTTATCCTAGTGGATCTATAATTAAACGGGTAAACTAGTAGTAGCACATCCAACGTCAAGGACAGCAAAACGTTATTATCAGCAGAGGGAGAATGTTCTTACTGTAATAGTTTATTAATGCACTAAGTAACATTAATAAAGGGACCATTATTGTAAAGTGTTACCCGTAATGTTTACTAGGACAGTAGATTAAGATAAGATGTGCAAGTTTGCTGCTATTTTAGCCAAAGTTATGTCTCATTGTTTTCAAAAGTCTGCAGGAAATTTCACAAGAAAAAAAATCAGACTTTTCTTTGCCTGACGAGCCGCACAGTGACACTCAAAAATGTAGAATATGGTGCGAAAGTTCATTTATGAGTAATTCAGCTTAAAACATGAAACTAAGACATGACTCATTCCAGTCAAAGCCAGATATTTCAAGCCTTTGTTGGTTTTCACTGTGATGATTACGGTTTACAGCTGATGAAAACCCCAAAGTCAAAATATTACGTAAAGGTTCAATATTCTAGACTCAACGTGTCACACTCTGGTCAGCCAATTAATCCTAAGCACCTGCAAAAGGTCCCTGAGCCTTTAGATGGTCTCTCAGTCTAACCTGGATTACTGACACAAATGGACTTTTGCACCCTTTGAGTTTCACCTGCATGTGAAATATTTAGCTGCTGCTGCGGGTTCTCTAGATGTTTGTTCAAAATGTTTATTTCAGAGAAAGAAACGGATGAGGTTTTAAATGCTGGGCTGCACGGTGGCGCAGTGGTTAGCACTGTTGCCTCGCAGCACAAAGGTTGCAGGTTCGAAACTCGGCTTGGCCTTTCTGCGTGGAGTTGCGTGTTCTCCCCATGCATGCGTGGGTTTCCACCGGCTCCCCCCACAGATCACAACACGCCCTATAGGTTATAAACTGTAAGTCACTTTGGATAAAAGCGTCTGCTAAATAAATAAACATAAATTTTGTCAGTAAGCTGCTTTTACATCCGCTAAAACGCCACCGCTAACTGAGGGAGTTCATTTACATATTTCAATGAAATTAAACTCAAATTCTTACAAATTTTGTGTGAAGCTTGAGGGGTGATCACATTTTTGACAGCAAAGCCCTTCTTGTGACACTCACACTGTAAACAATGTTGTCCCTGTCGGCGCGGCTGATCTGGAGCTCAGTACCGTCGCTCTCCGAGGCTCCGCGGCTCCCCAGCCAGCTCACCACGAGGCTCTGCTCGTCACTAAAAGCCTCCAAATGACTGATGCTTGGTGTCAGCGGCAGAGATCCTGGCGCACATTTTTAAAAAGTGACGCAAAAGCACAGGAAGAAGTTTTAAATGACTTTAAAATCCAACTTACCATCAGGACTACGGCACTCACTCTGACCTCTAGAGAATACGAGACACAACCAAAGCAGGCGAGTCCTGAATCGGCCGGTCCTCATCTCAGCTGAAGCACTAAAGTCGATCTCCGGTCACTAACAGCAAAAACTGACGAGAAGCCTCCCGAGTCGATGATGAACAGAAGTTTGTGTGCAGGAAGTGAAGGGAGGGGAGGTTGTAACGCAACAGGAACTCAGATGGATTCATAGATTCGAAACGAGACAAAAACTGCTCAGCAACAGTATATTTATATACACAATAATAATATTAAAAATAACAATACAGCACATTAAAGTCACGTGATCACAAGTCAAGACTAACGAAATATTCCAGCTGGCAGTGCATCAAACAGAAACCATCGTCTCACATCAGTAACAGCATCAGAGGGATTTTTGGCATTTTAGAGATTAATAACGGCAGGTAGATTAAATTTTACATCATTGTGTGCATAATTAGCCTTTTCATAAAAATAAACATATATTAAATATATATAAACACTAATATCAGTATATTTCTGTGTTTCAAAAGCTTTCCGTCTATTTAAATACAGCAAAAAATAACCTGAATACGTCATCCGGGGCGACGCTCGATTCTCTTCTCAGAGGTTTTAAGTGCTCCAACGGTATTTTGTCCTAATTTCTTTATAAGGCTGAAGTGTTTTTAACACAAATGTACCTTTTTCCCTTCAAGCAAGTGCAACAAGGATTTTAGTAGCAGGACGAACTGAAATAAGAAAGGCACGCTAGTGTGATGGGGCTGTTAAGGCACATGGATAGACCGCCTGTGTGCGACGCGGTCCAGACGGGGCTTTTATCCAAACGTAACGTTATCCTGTCGATGAAAACAAACGCGCACGACGCGACGGAGGGACTCGGTGTCCAGTTATCGAGTCTCAGAGGTAAACAATGTTCTCCTCTCCAACCTCTTCTCTGGTTTGTCCTTCGAGGGAGAGGTAAGCCTGAGGCGGCAGGAGGGGCATCAGAGACGGAGAGTTGTGTTCCTTGGTAAGTCTGTGACTTGTGACCTCTGACCTCCAGAAGCTGGAAGATTGGGCGTCCTGCAGCAGGTTGAGGTCTTCTAGAAGGATAAAAACAAAACTCAGATCATGTTTTAAAGAAAAAGGAAGCGTCTGGTCTCTGTTGGTCTTACTGCTGTTGCTCCTCTGCGTCTGGGCCGAGACGCCGCCGCCGCCGCCGCTGAACGGGAGGACGGGTTCTGCCGGGGCGCGGGGACAGCTGTGGTTGGTACCGTACAGAGGCGACTGGCTCAGCAGAGTGTTGAGGCTGTTGAAGAGGCTGGCGCTGAGGGTGGGGTTGGCGGCGTGGCTGGAGCCGTGCAGCGGGGTCTTACCCTGCGTGCTGAGAACATGCTGGTTCTGGTTCTGGTAGTCTGCGGGCTGGTGGAGGTGGTTCTGCTGTGAGGAGGAAAACAGGGCGGCTTCCTTCTTGTACACTGAACAGTTTCCATCCAGGCTTCCTGAGCGGCTGTGATTGGACACCTGGAACCAAAGCAGAGGGGATGCTCACTCTGAAGATGGACGCACACATCATGCTGCAGCCTGCTCGTGTCGCTTTCAGCCTCGACATTCATCAAGTCGATGTTCTCTAGGAAAACCCGGAGTCTGTTTTGCCTTTGTTCAGTCCAGCAGCTGGCTGGAGCGGTTCGCATCCGTGTGTGAAACGGTCGGGATGAAGATCGGACCCTTCAAATCTCAGACCGTGGACTACGAGCTGGAAACCCGTAGATTAGGTTTTATTCTGGTTTTACTCGTTTTAGTCTTTTACAACCAGCTCAGTGGCCTAGTGGTAGAGTGTCCGCCCTGAGACCGGGAGATCAGGGTTCGATTCCTGGTCGGGTCATACCAAAGACTTTGAAAAAATGGGACCTAATGCCTCCCTGCTAGACACTCAGCATTAAGGGGTTGGATTGGGGGGTTAAACCACCAAACGGTTCCCGAGCGCGGCCGTGTCTGCAGCTCAGCGCTCCCCCAGGGGATGGGTCAAATGCGGAGAACAAATTTCGCACACACATCAGTGTGTGTGACAACTAATGGGACTTTAACTTTAACTTAATCTCTACTTTGACCTTTTTGTGCTTCATGCTTTTAGCGTTCAGCACTTTGGGCTAGCTTGATTGGAAGCATGAATAAATAAACGAAGGATGATGAACAACCGTTTCCGTTTTGTTTATAGTGACCTTGTATCCATCCAGTGGTATTGAGACGGGCAGGCTGCTCTGGCGGCTGTGCCTCCAGCCCTGGAGCAGCCTCTGTTGGACTTGGATCTTCTCCTTCTCCCTCTCCACACCCTTCTGACCCTCCTTCAGCCGGTCCAGGTTCTGCTGATACTCCAGCAGCTGGGCCTCCAGCACCTCCCGCTCACAGCGAAGCCGCTCCGCCTCCAGGAGGCACTGCTGCTCTCGGTGCTCCAGCAGGTTCTCCTGCTCGGTCTGAAAGCAGAAGAATGAGAGGCTAAAGACGTGAAAAACCCTGATCAACAACAACAAGCTGGACGGTCAGAAATAACCACACAAAGCTAAAATAAACTACTTTAGAACATGCATAGAAATAATAAATGTCTTCTTCATACGTTCTCCTGCAATGCCCTGGTCCTGTAGAATGAGCCCTGGCATTTTTACTGTGATTGCCTGTTTTTCTGTAAAATCACAGAAAAACAGAGATGCTCGGGTCGAGCAGGCTGCTTCATGCGCGTTCACGCTCAGGCATCGCCCGTAGCATTTGCTATCCGTAGCTTTAGCAGCAGAGAGAGAGGCAGTGCCACTTTGTCGCTGTTCCTAACGCCTAGTGACAAAGCTAGCTACATTTCTGAGGACCCTTAGCTACTTTCTGTAGAACTTTCTTCTAGATATTTCCTGCTAATTAGCAACAAAATAGCCATTTTCACTCCGAACCGTTCTTTGAACGTTGTTTCAGCTGTCATCAAGGATATAAATGTTACAGATACAAATGACATCACTGGTGCTTTAGCTCACCTAGTAAGATGTCTGACTCTCATGCAGAAGACCTGGGTTTGATTCTGGGTGTGAACATAGTTTATTTAGAGTTTCTTTTTTACATTAATGGTATATTTTTTTTACAGTAAGATGCCCACATTTTTATTTGAGACTCGCCGAACGGCATTGAATTCACAGATAAAAAAGATGTGGGTTCAACTTTCATTTTGGAACAATTTTTCAAGCAAGGGAAGGGAATGATCTGAGCATGCAGGAGGACTGACCCATCATAAACCTTTGTCGGCTGTGCTGAAGAGAAAGGTACAGAACCACATTATTTAATTAATTAGCTGCACGTTCTCCTGTCCTCTGTCCTCCGGGCCACACACACACACACCCACCCACACACACACACACACACACACACACACACACACACACACACACACACACACACACACACACACACACACACACACACACACACACACACACACACACACACACACACACACACACACACACACACGGGACTGTCTCAGCTGCTATTTTCGTTAAGGAGTGTGCACGTACAGCATGTGCGCCTGGTGCACGAGCCTACTATTGAAGCTGCCGTTACGCTTTTGGCCTGAGGGGCGATCACGAGCATAAAAATTCAAAAGTCCTTAAAGTCCCTTTAAAATAAAACACGTTTTTGGAGTGCAGGCGTGCTACCGTTAACATCACAGAGTCTCAGGAACAGTTTTGTAATTGCGCAACACCCTTTCCTTTATCTTTAGTTACTGATATCTGCCCAATCATCTCTAACCACCTGTTACTGTTTTTAAAAGTCAAGTTTTTTTCTTATTTTTTCCAAGAAGTGACGCAAATTAAACCACAAACCTTTGTTTTTACCAAGGGGAAACTTCACCTGCCAAAAGTCAAGCCACAGAGTGACATCCTTTGCAGTTCCCCCATCGTCCACTAGAGGCTGGAACCAGAAAGGAGCAAGTTCCCATAGAATCCCATGTTAAAAATGCCAACTTCTCACCAGAAATAAACCTGTTTACAGCCTGGTTCAGAAAACCATTTTCAGTTTAATAGGTCTAGTTATCAGTCACAACAACTCTGAGGGGGGTGATTTTTTTGTAATTCATTCCTTTAGATCAGGGCTCTCCAACACGTCGCTCGCCTGGAAGCAGCCAGCGCGTCACCCTGACTTGTAATCAACGAGGGGCGGATTTGTAATTTGTTGGCAAGCCACCCCCATTTTCTGTAATATCTAATGTAAAATTAATTTTGTGGAAGTAAAATAAAAATCTGATTATTGCACAAATCTTTTTGGCAAACATGTTCTACTAAAAAAACGCAGATTAACTGATCCGGTTGCAGCACGGATCCCCGTATCTGCCAGCTTTGATCAGCAGCTGCAGGTGGATGAAGACGTGCTGATATTTAGCACCTTCTAGAGTCCTGGGACCTCCCAAGACGCTTTACAACACAGTCATTCACCCATTCACACCCTGGTGGTGGTGGTGTGCTACATTGTGGCTACAGCTGCCCTGGGGCACAGTGGGACGAGTCTGCCGTACACAGGTGCCACCGGTGCCTACGACCACCACCAGCTGGAAGGGTGGGTTAAGTGTCTTGCCCAAAACCCCGTTAAGATCAGGAAGATGTTATTTCTGTTTTTACACTTTTCACTTCAATTCAAACAACAGAATTTAATGTTTCCATCACATTTAGCTTGGATTTGACTAAAAATACCTTCAGTTTTATTCATTTTATGAGAAAATTAGTTTAGCATTGTTTGGAAAAATAATCATAACAAAGAAATAACTTGAAAGGTTTGTATTAAATGCCTTTTAAAGAGCAGTCGATGTCCTTTACAGGGCACAGGGGCAGGGACTGAACAGGAACAGGTTAGCTGTTAGCGGGGCGACGGTGGCACAGGAGGTAAGCACTCGCTCCGTAATCGGAAGGTTGCAGGTTCGAGCCCCACTCAGTCTGTTGCTGCCGTTGTGTCCTTGAGCAAGACACTTAACCCACGTTGCCTGCTGGTTAAAGTTAAAGTCCCATTAGTTGTCACACACACTGATGTGTGTGCGAAATTTGTTCTCCGCATTTGACCCATCCCCTGGGGGAGCGGTGAGCTGCAGACACAGCCGCGCTCGGGAACTGTTTGGTGGTTTAACCCCCCAATCCAACAGCCTCGCCTCTGTCAGTGCGCCCCAGGGCAGCTGTGGCTACATGGTAGCTCATCCCCACCAGTGTGTGAATGGGTGAATGACTGACTGGGTTGTAAAGCGCCTTGGGCGGTTCCAGGAGTCTAGAAGGCGCTATATCAAATACAGGCCTTTTACCATTATCTGAAAGTATCTGATTATAATGTTTTGTTTAGTTTGATTTTCTTCCTTGTATTTTTTTTATTGAAATGCAGAGAAACCAACGGGTGCATAAAATGCCGCTCATCTGGCTTCAGGTCAGCTCTTCAGAGACCTACAGGTGACGTGACGAAGGCTCCGCCCCTTTATAAATACAGTCTACGGTTTTTAAAAGCCTGAGACTCACTTGTTGTTTCTCTCGGGCTACACACTCTTTTTCCCAGCGCTGCTGCTCATGTTTCAGTTTCGTCTGGAGCTTCTGCACCTCGTCCACGTCCTCTTTCCTCCTCTCCAAACTCTTTTTTTCCTCTTTCATCCTGTCGTTACTCCTCTGCTTCTCCAGTTCCTGAAGACACATTTGAGACTTGACCCGACTTCCCTAACGAAACACGGCATAATAAACCTACCACATTACAAGTTAACGGTCTAGAAGTCATGTGTTCACCGGCTGATGTTTTCACAACAGATAAACGTCGACTTGAACAAACCAGGCTGCTTTGGAGGGAGGCGAAGCTCCGAAGCGCAGGTCTCTCTCGTTCCTGGAGAAGAAGTTTATGGACTTCGTAGTAGCTATCCTGGAGGGTCACAGCTGCCTGCAAACACCCGGAGACGCCGATCAAACAGCAGGATGATGATCATCACCGCATAAAAGGTTGGGTTTAATAAGAAACGGTTTTCTAATTTCAATATTAGTTTTCAAACAAATGACAAATAATATTTGGGAATGTAATTCATGTTGGACGATATAGAGTCTAAATTGAGGCAAAAAATGTACAAACAGCACTTTATTTTGAAAGAACAAAAAGAAATACCTAAGAGATATCTAAATAATTAACCCTCTGGTTTGCAGTCCAACTTCTTAGTGGAGCACACTTTAGGGCCTTAATATCCTGAAGGAGAAAAATCTACTAAACAACTAAATTCTAACAAATATGAGGATGTTTGAATAAAAAAGTTTATCATTATTCCTCAGTTTTATTATGACCTTAATATTAAATAAGACTTATTATCATACTCAGTGAAATAACATGTTAAATGTTGCTTTTGAAGTAATTATTGATCTAAATAACGTTTTTGGTTGTTTTGTGTTTTTGCAATACTGAAAAGCACAATTCAACTTTTCTAATACTCGTCATTTGTTCAGGATTTAATGGTAATTCAGATCTTTAAGAAATTATAATTATTTGGAGATCAGGAATTTTAAAAAGCGCTATAAAAATGTGCAATAGTATTAAGATATTATTAGTAGTTGTAGTAGTAGTAGTAGTAGTAGTAGTAGTAGTAGTAGTAATAGTAGTTTGTCTTTCCCTATATGATCAATAAAGTGTTTGTGAATTTAATTTCTAAATTAACCAAGTGGTGCTCGCTGCAGAACCACAAAAGTGGAGCTGCACCAGAGTCAGCCCCGCCCATTCCTGAGTCAGCCCCGCCCATTCCATCGGAGTCAGTCCAATTAAGAGTCAGCCCCGCCCATTCCTGAGTCAGCCCCACCCATTCCTGAGTCAGCCCCGCCCATTCCATCAGAGTCAGTCCAATTAAGAGTCAGCCCCGCCCATTCCTGAGTCAGCCCCACCCATTCCTGAGTCAGCCCCACCCATTCCTGAGTCAGCCCCGCCCATTCCATCAGAGTCAGTCCAATTCCTTCCAGTTGTCAGACTTGATAGCATTCTGGAACCATAGAGGGTGTTACAGCTAATATCATCTAAAATGTGAGATTGAGGACGGAGTTGAGAGGTTAATTGAACTGTTTTTGTAAAGGTTCCATATAATTAAAAATTTAACTTTTGGAACATTTTATCATGTCATATTGTCATTTCCTCATAAGAAACACGCCAAAGCCATTTTTGGCCTCATTCACACATTTTCCTCCCATCTCAGCTTCAGTTTTGTCTCCTCCCCCGAAGCGGGTCTGGTCTTGTTCTCAAATCTGGATATTCTGTGAATTTCCTGACAAATTATTTCTGAAATGACTTCTACTGAGACACCGCCGAAAAACCATACATCCCATCTACAAAAACACACTGGATGGCACAATTACACGTGACGCCACCTGCATGTTAGCAGATGTAGTGGTGAAGTGGTTGTAGAGTCAGACTGACGTAGATTTCGGCAGGTTCGCCTCCCGGTAGCGGCAGTATCAGGTAGTTTAAAACCCTTTTTCTTCTTTTCTAGCTACACTTGCCAGTACTATGTTTACAACTATTTATTGGTATACCGTTTACAATATAATGACTAATGGGTTTGTTTTTTATTTATTTGTTTATTTAGCCAGTGTGAGTCCATTTGTGAGCAGAGTTTCAACTAAAATGCTGTTTAGGAACGACCAAATTCAAAGAACTTTTAGAGACATAAATATTTTGCAGAAAATAAACATTACAACTAAAATATAAACAAATTAAATGTTTCAGCGGGCTAAATAGATTGCTGCCGACCCCACCGAGTCGAACCACCATCAGCTGAGGGAAACGCTGAACTTAAGTCAGACGATCTTGCCACTGGACCACCAGAGCCCCAACGCTGTATAGGACGCTTTTGTTGGAGCGGCTGTTTGCAGGTATTTGCTAAAAGAAACCTTTTCATTTCGGGATTTATTCAGGCTTTGTCAGGTAGCAAGTTCTCTTGTTTAACTGGAGCATAGAACATAGCATTAACATTTGTAAGCTAGTAACAGCCGTAACTCATGTGGGTCAGGTTAGCTTGTGATAAAATTGAAAAACAAAAACAGAAGAAGTCAGTGGGCTAGGCTGAGTTTGCGTGAGTGGGCGGGGCTGACTCTGGTGCAGCTCCGCCTTTGTAGTTCTGCAGCGAGCACCCTCTCAAATTAACGGACATGTTTTTTCATCTCACCTGTAGGCTATATAAAAGCTGAGTCAGACTCTGGACACTTTCTGCCACCTTAAATAAAAAATTAAATTTCTCTGTTATTATAAAACAAACACGTGTTTTTGATGTGAATTTCTCTTATGAGACTAAAGCTAATGAACCTTTAGCATCGTCCCTTTGGCGTCTCCTCTCCTGAGCTCCACTGCTGAACTCCATGAAACATCCAACCCGGCTAACTCGCCGTCTGACCCGAGAGAGGCGGAGCTCATGCTGAGTGTGCTCAGATAATCAGCTGATCGGGAAACAAGAGGCGTACATGTGAAATTCACAACATCCAAAAGGACTGAATGTTGGAACTTAAACAGTGAATCAGTGGCTCACGCTCAGAAGGAGAACCCTGAATGCTGCTGCCACGGCTGTTGTAGCTGCAGCACTCGGGAACTTGGACAGGAGGAGAGTTCTGGTTCTGGACAGTAAAGTCGCCACGAGCCTGAAGAATCGCGATCAGGTTCTCAGCTGTGGAGAAGACATATTTATAAAAAAAAGGAATCATCTTCACACATTTATCTTTTTGGAGCTTAACAATTCTGAAGAGAGAGACTAGGATCTATAATTAAATCATGTATCGTCACGTTTGTATGCGCTGTGGCTGACGCAGCAGCTGTCTCACCTTCTCTGAGAGCATCTGTGAGCAGCGACGCTGCCTGATGCGGCGTCTCACTGTCTATGTACTGAGCAGGTTGCACCAGCAGGTGGCGATGCGAGACAGGTTCTGATGGACGGAGGGTTAGCTCTGTCAGCTCAGCATAGAGATGCAACTTTTCTTCCAGGCTGTGGCAGATTCGCTGGTCCTGGCCAAACAATTTCTCTGAAATCAAACGGAAAACTCTTTATGTAAGAGGATTTCTGTTTGACTGGATCAAAGATGGAGGCACGCGGTTACGTTTCTTACCCTGGAACTTGTTGATTGTCTGAACTCTCACTTCTGCAGCTTGCTTGGCTTCCTCGGTCTCCGCGCATCGCTCCTCCTCTTCCTCCTCCTCGGGACAGCTGCCATGTGGTTCAGCAGCGTAGATGATTAATGACACGAACATCAACATTCATTAACCTGACACACACACACACACCTCTCCACAGCCTGTCGGATGTGTCTCATCCATGCATTTCTTTCCTCTTTGGTAGTGGTGTGAACTTCATACATCTCCGGGCCCAGGGAGGACGCAGAGATCAGGAACATTCCTTTTTCCTCATTGGCTACTTCTCTAACAATGAGTTTCTGCAGGGGGATTACTGGAGGCTTCTGGTCCTGAGGGAGTAAACCCCACCAAAACAGGATGTTTACACGCTGGAAAGCCCTACATGTGTAATTTGAAGGCAGTGTTCAGGTTGATGCTCACCACAGAAGCAAATATGAAGCGCTGGTCTTTCTCTTGCAGGAAAACCAGGACGTCTGTTAGCAGAAGAGCTAACGTATCTGCAAATGAGACGTTACACAAACATATAGAACAGTTTTCTCTGACGGAACATCTTGAAGCATGCACGAGGACATTCACACCTTTCAGACGTCCTGTAGCAGTCTTCCAGTAGACCAAGCCTTTGTGCTGCAGCTCTCTGTGTTTGCTGTGCAGGTCCTGTTTACGGAACACCTTGCCGTTTTTAAGCTTGGCAAAACTCTTGGTTTCAAGCCTGGCGAGCACTTCCTGCAGCTCCTGAGATCGCTCGTACTTGTAAACGGTCAGGTCTACGGCTGCAGTGATGTCACGGATCTGAGCCAAAGCACTCGACAAGTCAGTGTGTTCCTGACTTCCTTCTGCGAGGGACAGAATAACGACAACAGGAAGAAACAAGTTCATGAAGCAACACAGCATCTCGTAGAGGGGTTCATTAAGTGTTAATCTAATCAGTGAAAGGATGATGTGAAACAGAACGTTCCTTTTTTTCTTGCAGGACTTGTTTTGAAACACTTGTTTTGGGATTGTGTTACTAAGGAATCCCTGAAAAGCAAGAGAAAATGATTATAGACCCACTTTCTAAAGCCTCCTGTCACCCGGATGTGAAAACAACCTTCTACAAGTTCCAAAGATCAGGTATAAAAGTCGAGCTGGTCGCTCCTTTCAGACTGTTGCAGCTCGACTTTGGAATGATCTTCCTTCATCCTTAGGCAGCGTTGACAGTCTGGACACTTATAAAAAACAGCTAAAGACCCTTTTATTTAAAGCTGCTTTTACCTAAATCTTTTATTTTCTTATTTTTAACTCAAATTTTCATCTTTCATCTGTTTATGAAATTTTATGATTTTATGACTTTGTTTTCAATTCAATTCAATTCAATTCAAATCAAAGATACTTTATTAATCCCAGAGGGAAATTAGAGTTTCAGTACACACCATTCAGAGATCAGGCATACATGGGCAAGACACATGACAAGAATTGGTGACTGTGGTCATTCGCAACCCTGAGTCGCGCTGCCTTAATAGAGATAAGAGGGTTACATGAGGATTGGTTCAGGTGGAGGGAAAAAGGCACTTCAGAGTTACCCTCCACCAGGAGGGCAGCTTTGCTCTGCAAAAAACACCTCAGACAGATATGCAACAGACTTCAGACAACACAACATGTGTCCACTAGGTGGGGTGGTGGGTTGGGACTATCCCTACTTCAGTTCCTGCAGCCATGATAAGCAGCACATGTCACCTCAGTGTGGATAGGGGGAGGAGCATTGAGGGTTGGAGGGTTTCAGTGACCCTGGAACGTTTCAGCGGCCTTCCCGCAGTCCCGCCCAGGCTGGGAAAGGAGACAGAGTTGAGTTGCCATAGCGACGACACATTCCACATATCTTCTGAGGGGGGAGTTTTCATTGGAGCCTTGCAGGCTCAAGGGCACCAGATTCCGATTAGAAATTGTTTTGGGGCCAGACAGAGATAATTTCCTCTCTGTCTTACAGTTTGTTGGTCCTCAACCTCTCAAAATCCCAATAATGGACATTAATCTATCCCAATCCGTGCTGATTCGTCCACTCTCTCCTTGATGGCATCCATCTTTTGTGCCAATGAATGAATCTCGGCCAAAGTTCCAAGCTTTCGATTCATCTCGACAATTATGTGAGTCTGTGATTTCACAGTATGGTGCAATCCTTCTCTGAGCTCCGGGATCAGGCCAATATTCCTCGACAGCTCGTTAATTTTCTGGTAAGCCAGGTAGCCTCGAAGGCCGATGAGCAGGAAACCTGACACCAGCACCACGAATATCCACACGTCTTCAGAGTCCTCCACAGACAGCTGAGATAAACAAATCAAGTTCCACTGTTTCCAGGAGTCCATGGTGTGTCCAACTGGGTCTGTCCCAGAGGGGCATCCGGGAGACCCTTCTCCCGTTCTCATCGTTGAAACATTTTTATCAATCGTGTTGAGAGACCAACTGACGAGATCCATTTTAGTGAATTTCAGTTTCCAGTTTACAGAAAAAATGCAGAAGCAGCCGTGCACCCAGAGAAAGACAAAGGGCCTTGAGGATAAGATATGGAGGAGAGGAGAAGAAAAGCGTCAGCGCCCTCCGAGGTCTATGTTGTTTTGATCTATGTGAAGCACTTTGTGATTCTATGTCTAAGTGCTATATAAATAAAATTTACTTACTTACTTACTAAAACGGCAACGAAATGTACTTTGCGGTAATTAGCCGCGTTATAAGGCACGAGCTCCTTTCCACCGGCAGCTACATTTCGGACGGGTTAGGGTTAGCGAACCCTGAAGCGAAGAGATGCTATCATTACGTTTTGAGTCTATTTTTATGCGCCACGTTTCCAAAACACATTAAATTTTGCAGTTTAGATCGGACCAGACAGGAAGTCAAACACGAACGCAGAGTAAAAAATCTGGAAACTTTCAAAACAAAAGTCACGTGCAGATAAACGTCCGTGAAACCCCCGTAGCCGTAAAAGGAACAGAAAATAAACCACAGACCTTTCTGGACACATGCAGCAGTCTTTCTCCTCTCCTGTTATTGCGTGGACTTCTGTAATCACGCATGGTGGTGCAGTTCTCCTGTGACTTTGTGGGACCAGCGAGGTGGAATTAGTTCACTCCCGTTACACGTCTGAAACGTTCCTGGTTGGAGGGGAGCTCACGGGTAAACCGCCACTTTCACGTCTATAAACCTTAAAGGCCCTGAAGGGCAAGTGAAATTATTTTTCTGTTGTCTCATTTTTCTACACTTTTTGTTCTCATCCAACAGGCAGAGAAATAAAAAACCCTGGCTTTCAACTGGGCACGAAGCAAAATGTAACGTAACAGACACATTTTTCCAGCAATCTCAGTGGAACGTTCCATCCCACCGGGAGTGTTTCAGATGCAAAAGGGCAGCTAAAGCATTCCACACAGCTGGTCCCTGCATCACCGAAGAGTTGCAGGATCACGTGTGATTTTGCAAGTTGAGGTTATAACAAGCAAGGAGAAAGATGGCAGCATGTCACCAACAGAAAAATATTTCACTTGCCCTTCACACTGAACCGGCTCTGTGTATGAAACGTGCTGTACAAATACGCTGTCGTGCCTTTAAAGGGACTTTACGGAGTTTTGAATTTTTATGCTCGCGATCGCCCCCTCAGGCCAAAAGCGTAACGGCAGCTTCAATAGTAGGCTCGTGCACGAGGTGCGCATGCTGTACGTGCACACTCCTTAACGAAAATAACAGCTGAGACAGTCGTGTGTGTGTGTGTGTGTGTGTGTGTGTGTGTGTGTGTGTGTGTGTCCCGGAGGACAGAGGACAGAGGAACACGCAGCTAATTAATTAAATAATGTGGTTCTGTAGCTTTCTCTTCAGCACAGCCGACAAAGGTTTATGATGGGTCAGTCCTCCTGCATGCTCAGATCATTCCCTTCCCTTGCTTGAAAAATTGTTCCAAAATGAAAGTTGAACCCACATCTTTTTATCTGTGAATTCAATGCCGTTCGGCGAGTCTCAAATAAAAATTTGGGCATCTTACTGTAAAAAATATACCATTAATGTAAAAAAAAGAAACTCTAAATGAACTATGTTCACATCCAGAATCAAACCCAGGTCTTCTGCATGAGAGTCCGACATCTTACTAGGCGAGCTAAAGCGCCAGTGACGTTCCATTGTACCTGTAACATTTATATCCTTGATGACAGCTGAAACAACATTCAAAGAACGGTTCGGAGTGAAAATGGCTATTTTGTTGCTAATTAGCAGGAAATGTCTAGAAGAAAGTTGTACAGAAAGTAGCTAAGGGTCCTCAGAAATGTAGCTAGCTTTGTCACTAGGCGTTAGGAACAGCGACAAAGTGGCACTGCCTCTCTCTCTGCTGCTAAAGCTACGGATAGCAAATGCTACGGGCGATGCCTGAGCGTGAACGCGCATGAAGCAGCCTGCTCGACCCGAGCATCTCTCTTTTTCTGTGATTTTACAGAAAAACAGGCAATCACAGTAAAAATGCCAGGGCTCATTCTACAGGACCAGGGCATTGCAGGAGAATGTATGAAGAAGACATTTATTATTTCTATACATGTTTTGGCTGTCACACTTCCATAACGTCCCTTTAAGGCCTAACCATAAACAAAAACATAAGGAATAATTTATATGACTTTTTTTCCCCATGCAATTGACTTTTAAAGTTTATAAAAAATTTCACCAGACAGAGAATTTTTTTTTTCATTTGGCATTTCAGGGCTTCCATATATTTCACAGTTTACATTAGAATATCAGCGGCATCATGTCATGCTAAGGGTAGCTTGCATGTGTAGTTTTTCCTAGGACACAGACTAGCTGAATTACCCTGAGTGTACTGTATTATCCTCTCCAGGAGGACGGGATACTTGGTGATGCGCTGTGTGACCAGCAGGATGAACTCCGGCACTTCTCTTCGTTTGACCAGAGAGTTATTGCTCTGTTGCTACGAGGAGAGGAAAAAAAATCTCTTCAATCGAGATAATATACTAGAAAATGTGAATGAGCACGGTCTGAGAAAAGGACCTTACCCTGACAAAGATTAGGAACTTCTTGTTTTGTTGCTGAAGCTCTTTAAACACATTAACAGCTTCGATGTGGCGACTGCAGAATTCGCCGTACGCCTGCTTCATCCTCTCAGCATTTTCACCTGAAAACTGAGAGAAACAGTCAAAAGCTTAGGAAACAGTCATCTCTGTGTACCACTGACTGATCGATCCATCATCACAGACCTGCTGGAGCAGTATGTCTCCAATCTGATGGATGAGGTAATTTTGTGAATCGTCTGTTTGGATGGCAGCCTGGCGGCGTTCCTGCAGCGCTCTGAAGAAGTTCCTGTGGAAGTGCAGCAGAGGATCCAAGGATGGGAACATCCGGGCCACGCAGTCCCAATCCATCTGCAGCTCTTCCAGCATGCCTCTCCTGAACACCTCCGACATGACCATCAAAGTTTCAATGTGATGAAGTTCTGTCTGCATCAGCTCTGCAGTGGGAGGCGGGTGAGACAGGTCGTGGTAAAAATCTCTGCGTTTACAAGCTCTAATGAGGTGTTTGGTTGGAGGGCTAACGAACGCAGCATGTCACTTTGCTTATTTTAGCCAAAAATCTGCATTTAAGAGGATCTGACACCTTTGGGGTACGACTGACAGAAAACATGAGATCCTGTTAAGCAGTGGGAGGGCTGGTCCCTCGTGAGTATCATCATCTAATGCAAGATCCTTTTAGAACTGTCTGGTTTCCGTTTTTATGGTGTACTAAGGATGTTTTTTTGTTTACAATTAGCTACGTATCACACATGGATGAACAAAGAACACAGTGAGTGTCTGGCCGGTGGCAGAGGAGGGTTTCTGCAGGCTTAAGTTATACTTCTCCGTCTGCGTCGGTACGAAGACACGCAACGCCATTATCCGTCCTTGCATAGGGCTCCGGCAGGCACGCAAGTACGTACGGAGTCGAGTCCACTTTTTTAAACATCCGTCGAACGAAACGGATTACGCAAGCTTGTGATTGGTCAGGACGCCGCTGTTGTTTATGTGGCAAGGTGGAGAAACGAGGGCCCGGGCGGGATTCGATCCCCAGACTCCCGGTTGAGAGTCATACGCTCTAACCAGTCAGCCAAAGGGACATCCCCTTGGCCAAGTAGCCAGGGCGCATGATCAGTCGGGACATTGTGACAGGACACTCACACTGTCACATTTACAGCACCGCCATTGCAAAGAGAGCCGAGTTTAACTAGCGGCAGACACGGAGAAGCTTGAAGAATACCTCGCGAAAAAACTCTAAACATATGAACGTTTCATCCTGCCATGACTGGAGGAGTGAAAAGATGCACAGCAAGCGTTTTATTTGTGGACGGAAATGACAGGAAACGTGGGTTTAGAGGTGGGGAGCGCATGAAGAGGTGGGAGAATGAGAGACAAATATGTCCGTGTTAAAAAGTCTCTTATATACACAAAAAACACAATATAAACAAACGATCTTGGACCGATACATGACAGGATACCACAGAACAGCTCTACGCCCTCTGTTGTCCTGCAGGGCAATTGCTTTGCAACACTCTCCAGGAGACGGGGAAGTATGAGCAAAACACTTCCGTCAATCCGTGCGTGTCTGTCCCTTGTGGAGCTGACGGAGAAGCATGAACCAGGCTTAAGAGCTCAGCGACGGGCTCGCAGATGGTGACGTAGACATGGCCACATTTTTTAACTATCCTGCAACCCTGTGATCAGTCAGGTCGCTGCTTCCTGTAAATTCGTCAACAGCACAGTCTTTGCCCCCCTCAAAAAGTTAAAAGATATTTAGCGGCAGACACCGAACAGAGTGAAGAACGCATCGCTGAAAAAGTCTGGAAATATAAATATAAACGAGAGGAGTATAAAGATACGCAGCAAGCGTTTTATTTGTGGACAGAAAACGTGAGTCTAGATGTGCCGATCGCACGAAGAGCTGGATGGGGGGCAAATTTGCTCATGTTTATGTTTATTTATTTAGCAGACGCTTTTATCCAAAGTGACGTACAATTTATAACCTATAGGGCGTGTTGTGATCTGTGGGGGAAACCGGAGTACCCGGAGGAAACCCACGCATGCACGGGGAGAACACGCAACTCCACGCAGAAAGGCCGCAGCCGAGTTTCGAACCTGCAACCTTCGTGCTGCGAGGCAACAGTGCTAACCACTGCGCCACCATGCTCATGTTCAAAAGACTCAGAAATACATTAAAACAATGTAAACACAATAGTAGACACACCATCGTGGACCAAACTGTAATGGTGGCAGGACACCTCACAATAGCGCTACGCCCGCGGTTGTCCTGGCGGGGAATTGCTTTGCAAAACTTCCCAGCTGACGGAGAAGCCTGAGAGCAAAATTTCTGTCAATGCGTGTGTGTGTGTCCCTCGCAGAGCTGACGGAGAAGTATAACTTAGGGTTAGGCTCAACAAGGAAAAGGATTTGCCATTCATTCAAAGTCTGGGTATCCTGGAATTTCAGTGGCGCTCCAATAGATTGTTGTTTGTTGTTTTCCTCTTATCCAACAAGGGGATTAGCAGTAGCTTCGGCGAGCGTTAGCGGTAGCGTGTGAAAATGTTAGAAGTAGCAAGGTCTAGTGTTGTTCTGCGGTTAGCATTGCCAACATTTAGCTGACGATGATGAAATGTGTTGGGACATGCCAACTTAAGGGTGCGTGTTAAACCAGCTTTTCTCAGAATGAGCCCTTAGAGACCAAAACAACATGACATGAAATCTTAACAAGTCGTAGCAACAGCAGGTCAGTCTAGCCACGCTCCACTGTAGCTCAGCACGTCAGGCCAACTACAGCGCTCTATGTCCGTAGAGAGACGCTGGGCGGACTGACTGCACGATGGAGGAAAACTACAAAGATGGTGTCGACTCAGGAACGGTACTCATTTGAAACAGCTTTGGCATCAACTTGGGACTACAGAGTTGGACTTTTCTTTCAGACACGAACCAACAGAGGTGTAATTTATTTTGAAAAAGGATATATTTGCATTTTTTTTCCTTGGTGGTGTATGGCAGACTGCTGTAGACGGATTTCCGTAGCGATGAATACGTCACTTTGTTTGTTACTTCAGTGGTTGTCCAATTGCGTGCAGAGTTTAGTGGACAACCACTGATTCTGTTCCACGACCAAGTTCTGTCTACGGCTTGTGACCAACTAAATAGGATGGCTTGCCAGGGTAAATTTTATTTATTTATTTCGTTTATTTCATTCAAAATAAAAACAAATAAAACATATAAACAATAAGAAATACATAAAAAATCTAATTTGAACAAAAAAGAGCAGAATGAAGAAAAACTTCTTGTAATTTCTGCCCCCTTTTCCAGTGGAAATAATCCATTTATATATAATTACCATTTGTCAGACACACACACACACACACACACACACACACACACACACACACACACACACACACACACACACACACACACACACACACAGATTCATTTTAAACGTTTTCCTGTTCTAAATTCCAGAGCGATCATGATCATTGATTTAATTTACATTTTCATCATTATTTAGTACACTCAATTTGGTACATTTTTTGAATATATTAAATGACAGAATTTTTTTATTTCCCTTTTAAGGTTATTCCATAATTTAACACCATTTACAGACGTATTCCACTCCTTAACTTTAGTTCTACATCTGGGTTTTGTAAACACATCAGTTTCTTTCAGCGTGTAATTACTAGTTCTCTTTTCAAATATCCCCTGAATGTTTGTTGGCAGAGTACCTAAATTGGCTTTATACATAGTTTGTAAGATTTTCCAGTCTTTTAAATCATGAAATTTCAGTAATTTATATTTAGTAAACAACGGGTTGGATGGATCTCTACAGCCACTATAACTGATGATTCTCAGAGCTCTTTTATGTAAAATAAATAAGGGTTGTGTATAGTTTTTGTATGTTGCTCCCCAGATTTCTACACAATAAGTCAAGTATGGAACAATCAGTGAAATGTACAACAAACCAGAATTAGTCAGTAAAACTTGACTCTATGTAATACTCCTAAGGATTTGGCTATTTTACCTTTTATGTAACTAATGCGGGATTTCCATGACAAGTCTTCATCAATAAGAACTCCAAGAAATTTAGTTTCTTTTACTCTTTGAATTTCAATCCCATCTATTTCCAATGACACGTCACTGTTATTTTTATCATTAAACAGTATAACATTTGTTTTATTAAGATTCAGTGTCAATCTATTTACATCAAACCAGCTTTTAATTTTAATCAGTTCATTTATCACTTTAGCCACCTCCTCAATATTTGATCCTGAGTAAAACAGTGTTGTATCATCTGCAAACAGAATGGTACTGAGTGTCTTAGATACATTTACCAAGTCATTAATTAACAAAATGAACAGTTTTGGTTCGAGGACCGACCCTTGTGGCACTCCACAATTAATTTCACATAGTTTTGATTTATGGTCCTTTATCTGAACAAACTGTTTCCTTTTTTCCAAATAAGTTTTAACCCACTGATGAGCCACACCTCTTATTCCATAATCAATGACGTCAAAAGCTTTTTTTCAAATCAATGAAAACACTAACAAAGTCATTTTTATTGTCAACTGCCGTTGATATTTTATCCGTTAACTCCATTATTGCCACTGCTGTGGAATGTTTAGTTCTAAACCCATTTTGTTCATTGTTTAAAATATGATTATTTTCGATGAATTTATCCAACCTTGATACAAATACTTTTTCCAATATTTTAGAAAACTTTACTTGGGAGAACCGGTTGGAGATGGCACAGACTTTTTGGTATGCTACACCAGAAACCCAAAGTGGCCTGTATTCAACAACAACAACGGAAATGTGGTATTAAACTGTAGAACCACTTTAAAATTGATATTTATCACTTTCTTCCTGAAAACTCAACGTTTGCAGAGCAGCTCAGTCTTGTTTGCATGAAGACATTTAACTGTGGGAGTTAATGAACGTATGGGGAAAGTGTAAATTACCGCAAGAGTCCAACACTGTTGCCATTTACGGAGAAATGAGTGCGAAAGGTAAAAGAAATCCTCACCGTAGATAACATTCTGGCGTTTAACGGTGCGTCTGTCGTGTTGTCTGCAGAACTCTGTACTGACTATGAGACTCCAAGACTCGGCCTCAAGCCTCAGCAGGTCAGCTGACAGGTCACCCAATAAAGGAGCATCTGTAGCTGCAACAACAAACAGAGAAGTTTCCGTTCTGAATCGGAGTTTAATTGATGCATTCACTGAATCCTGTGAGGCTTTTGGTACTCACCCTTTGTGCTGATGGGCAGGTCGGTGGACGTGGGAGTTGTTGTCACAGGTGTTCCCTCTTCAGACGGTGAGCTGTTAGTGCAAGCTGTCACGCTGAACTCACCGTCCACCCCCGCTGTTTCACTCAGTCCTCTGTAGGCAAGCGAGATTAGAGCTAAACATCTGATCTCATGTCTGTGAACTGCAGTGTTACTCACACAAACAGAGCCGTGGAAGGTAAATTAGCGGCGTTTCCTTTGAAATTTTAAGACTATTTTTGCACCTCTGAGCAAAACAGTCTGCATCAGGGATAGTATTTGTTTAAAGTCCACATGTGATTATTCCCTACATACATAAAAATAAATACTGTACCTGCTGTCTGTGGAGACAGAATGGGTTTTGGAAAACGAAGAGATGGTTTCTCTTTTCCCTTCTTTGGTTATTGTTGAAACAGAGGAGGAGGAGGAGGATGAACAGAAAACAGAGACTGAAGAGTTTTCCTTCACAGAGCCTAAAGGAAGCATTAGGAATAAGAGAAATCAGAAATAAACACTTTAAATGTGTTTTTAAATTTCAGAGTACAAGATCACAACGTGAGATTGTCCTGATGTAAAAACAGACACAGAGACCCAACGGAGACCCGACCCCCCGCTGAGACAGATGGGGGGGGGGGGGGGGGGGACAGCAGTGGTTGACCCAACCACAGGACAACAGAGGACAGGTGAACTGTTAATGACTCAAAAACCAAAGGAGGACACGGTTTACAGTGAGCGGGGGGTGGGACTCACTCTGTGGGAGGGACATGGTTTTACTTTTCATCAGCGCTGCATTCCTCTCCTGCGGCTTCTGTGGGACAAACACAATCATATTAACGTCAACCGCCGTAAATCCTCATCGTCTGTGCTCAGAACAAAGAGACGCTGTTGGTTTGACAGCTAATACTTACATCAGAACAATCCTGTCCTTCTCAGTTACAGATTATCGCCAGTGTTTGTAAAAAGGAAGTTGTGAGTTTGGCCTTCAGAATAAGAGCACACTGGGTTTTTTTTGTTTGTTTTATTTTGTCTGAGTGAGGCTTGTTTATGTTATGCTGGGGCAAAAGGACACGGTCTGTTTGCACAGGCTCACAAGTGCTTACTGTGACAGTTTACCGACTTTTTGTGTGGGACTTATGATGTAATGGATCATCTGTGAAACAAATGTCCTTTTAGCTGGTTAAAGAAAGACTTTGTTCGTGATTTATTGCCCTTTTTCTTGTCTGTGGTCACATACGTAGATGACAGAGTGAGAATATTAAAGGGGAAACATCTTTCCATTTTTCTTTATTTAATTCATAAAGGAAAGTGAAACATGAGGGTTTGTGTTTCCCGCGGCTAAAGAGGACCTCAGTGGAAAAGTGAAAGAACACAAAGACACGTATTTAAAAACAGCATAACTAATGATTGATTTGTCATCAAAGGAGCTGATTTTTTCTAATTGAGTACGTGTAAAAAACCATTATGCTTTAATTATCTGGTGTAACCCCGTTAGTTTAGGAAAAGCTGCAAACATCAGGTCCTTTCACAATATTTCAGTTGGACCAAGGTAAAGGATCTGATTTAAGGTCCAGTGATCAAAGCCTACTGGTTGTGCAGCACCAGGCGAAAGGTCAAAGGTGACAGATCATCTGCTGCTGTGGCCCCCAGACTCTGGAGCTCTCTCCCCCTGAGCCTGAGATCAGCGGACTCAGTGGTCTCCTTTAAAAAGCAGCTGAAGACTCACCTGTTCTGCTCTTTTTCCGCCTTTCCCACCGATTTCCCTCTTTCCTATTCATTTTCTCTCTCCCTTTCCTTACGTATTTTTTTTATTCACAATTTAAATTTTTTCTCATTTTAAACATTTTTAATCTTTTATTTTTTAAATATTTTTTACACTTTAATTTTTGTTTTTCTTTTTGTGAAGCGTCTCGTGATTTTTATCTTGAGAGGTGCTATATAAAAGATCAGTTTTTTCTTTCTTTAATTTTCAAAACAAAAACATCCAAAACACAAACTTCTCTAAATCATTCTTTGGTGGAACAGTGTTTAAGTTGTTTGCTGCACAAAAAAAAAAAAAAATTCACATATTTTAAGATCTAATCTGCAGATAAACGTTCCGATAGGGATACACAAGTGAAATCACTTTTCCCATCAATGATAAAGTTGCTGTCCCAACAAAACGGGCTTAAATTAAGTTACCATCTCCATATTTCACAGATGAGATAAGGTGTTTTTCTTCTCTACACTCCGTCTCATCCATCCACATAACATTTTTCAATTATCCTCTAACTTGTTTACATGATCTTTAGCAAACTGCAGTCAGGCAGGGAGGTTATTTTTGGAGAACAGCAGAGTTCTGCTTGCAGCTCAGCCTTGCACATTAAAGCTGCACTTCTGATGGTGAAATCTTGAATGTTAACAATTAAGCACACGTCTTAAAATGATGCCAGCTAGTTCGTGCCTTCATCCAAGACGTTTATCACAGGTGTGCTAAATCTTTAAATGGGACACATTATACAAAACTATCCTTTTGCTTTCTTTTGTGCTGCCATGCGACCTACTGCCTCTTTAAACACTCCGTACTTGAAAAAAACTCTCCATTTGTTTTCTGTCAGTGTTTGATTTTACGAATTATCTGCCTAAAACAGGCAGTTTCAAAACGTCCTTGTTTGTGACATCACAAATGGGATCATTTGAAGAGAACCACCACTCAGGTGCAAGTGTTAGTTGCTGTTGGAGGCGCAGCAGCTCTACTGCGAGCCCCTGCGTATAGCAGGGGGTTGGGTAGGTGCGGTCAGCTCACCTCGGATTGGCTAACAGTAATACGACTCTACCACTGACTATGTTTGCTTTGCAACATTGATGGTTAATCTTCACAAATAAAAGCCTGAAGGAGTTCTGCCATGTTGTGGAATTGCTAATGCTAATGGTTATCTTCTACTAGCCATAGAGCTAGCTAGGCGCGCTCTGCTGATTCCTGGACGCTGAACCAGCCTTCTCCGTCATGAGTCAAGATGGGTGAGTCCATGAATGTTAAAGTGCATCTTTAATGTTCTTTAAAATGGCAGAAAAACATCATCTAAGTTCAAAAAGTTACATATTCAAAATAAAAGAAGCATTACCAGACAGCCAGTCACTTGAGGTGTGACAGCAGGGCAGCTGTCAGCTACTTTGATTATCCTTCCAGGTTTTCAGACAACAAGCAGCTGTTTAAAAATACTAAATCAAGGCAAGTGGGCAGGCTCTCCTAAAAAACGTACAGTTTTGGAGTCACGTGACTCATTATGCATCTCAAAGAAAACTTAGAAGACGTGCTCGACTCCGGTTACTTTTAGTTGCCGAGGTAACACGGATTAAACTAGTTTAACCGCGATGGTTAATGTTTGTGTGTGTTGGGGTTGTACAAACCCCTTGATTCAGAAAAGGGTAGAGTGCCTTCTCCGGGTCAGGGACGAGGTCCTGCCCCAAGTGGAGGAGTTTAAGTATCTCGGGGTCTTGTTCACGAGTGAGGGAAAGCTGGAGCGTGAGATCGATAGGCGGATTGGTGCTGCATCTGCAGTGATGCGGGCGTTGTGCCGGTCTGTCATAGAGAAGAGAGAGCTGAGTCAGAAGGTGAAGCTCTCGATTTACCGGTAGATCTGCGTTCCTACCCTCACCTATGGTCACGAGCTTTGGGTAGTGACCGAAAGAACGAGATCTCGGATACAAGCGGCCGAAATGAGTTTTCTCCGAAGAGTGGCTGGGCTCTTCCTAAGCTCGGACATTCGGGAGGGGTTCGGAGTAGACCCGCTGCTCCTCCACATCGAGAGGAGCCAGTTGAGGTGGCCCGGGCATCTGGTCAGGATGCCTCCTGAACGCCTCCCTGGTGAGATTTTCCGGGCACGTCCAACCGGGAGGAGACCTAAAGGTAGACCCAGGACACGGTGGAGGGACTATGTCTCTCACCTGGCCAGGGAACGCCTTGGGATTCCTCCAGAGGAGCTGACACAAGTGGCTGGGGAGAGAGAAGTCTGGGCCTCTCGCCTTAGGCTACTGCCCCCCGCGACCTGACTGATCATTTTCAAAAATAATTTTAAAATAGTTTCTCAGTGAACCTGTTCTTTGAAAAAAGACAAAGCAGTTTTGGCTTGCTTTTAGCACCCCCTAGTGTCCATTTAGTAGAACCAAACGCAAAATGTATCTCCTTGCTGTGCGTTCGTTTTTTTAACACCTTAATCTAACAGCTGAAATGTCTCCCCAGCCTTCATTAGTGTCTACAGCGGTGATTCATAACTAAATCAAACAAGTCAGCTGATTTCATGGTCTAAAACATGCTGGAACCAGACTGCAGCGCCAAGTATGTAAGCTCCATTTTATTTATTTTTTTTCCCTAAGTCCAACAGACCAGACAGGCACCCTGAAGTGGCAAATGTGGTATTCTGGCCACAGAGAGCTGTGGGGGTCTGCCTTAAAAGTGACAGAGCCATGGAACAGCTCATTCTGGAAGGTACTGAAAATGTCAAGTCTAAAACTGCTGCCGTTGTTACCTTTCCACAGGCGGAGACAGATTCTCTGCAGTTTTTATGGACACTCAGGAAGCAGTCTGAAGACAAGGGTAGAGGGTTAAGTAATATGTTAAACTCATGTTAAATGATTACAATCACATGTCTGCAAAGCTGACTTTGTGAAAAGAATTGAATTTACTTTAAAGCATCTTTGCATGCCATGCTAAGAGGTTTAAAGTCTCCAAACACTCTAGGACAGAAAACACCTGCTGTGACAGGGTAATACTCACTGGAACACTGCAGCGAGTCTTTCCCAGAACCGGACTTCTCACAGGCCACACAGAGAGAAGGAGCAGACACGGACACAAACTGGTGCCCACCCGCCGCTCCTGACTTCTCCTTCCCCTCTTTCACCTCCTTCCCTTTCACCTGAAATAAAGTTTAAAAATACTTTTGGTTTAGTCGTTGAGCACCAAAGACACAGAACCCATCAGCCCTCTGTGGTGCAGAACACCTCTCTGAACGAGGTTTAAGAGCTATGAGGAGGTTGTTCTGCTGGTGGACAGCTGCTGCTGTAGAGCGCGAGCCTTGGGGGGCACTAGGAGGACTCCTTTCTTTATGTGCGATAGATCAATGTTTGTTTTCTTCTCAAACTTTGCAAGGAAGTCTGGGTGTGTGTTTGTTTTTGTAATGCTCGAGTGTATTGTGTGTGTGTTCTTAGAAGAGAACATGCCTTCCAGCACATACAAACACGTGTTCATAGGATCAGAAGAACACGGTAGAACATGTTTTGGTTTATTAGCCTACTTGGATGGGGTTGGGGAGGGGTGGCATGTTACATAAGGGCATCTTTTCACGGTTTCCCATAGCTGAAGGGGAAATTTCCTCCCTTTCCAAATAAAGGCACAACAATCAGACAATAGCCCCCCAGCACAGGAATCCTGACCTATCCTTGCTGGGAGCTGTTAAAGTGGAGCGCTTTAGGAGCGCTGGAAGGTCAGCTGCAGGGACTTCCAGTCGCATTTCAAACACACGTTGGGGAAATCTTGGCCAGCGTGAGTTTTATTTTGATTGAAAGAAAATCTGCAGCGCTGGCTCACCTTGGTTTTGCTGCGGGTGCTGGACATCCTGCTCTTCAGGAAGCTGAAGGTTCGGCTCACTTTGTACTTCTCTGACTCGACCTTAGACGGGATCATGAATCTATCCCACTCCTCATCTTCAATCCTGTATCATATTTAAAGGAGGGGGAAGTCATCTTCACACCACACGGGCCTGATTTCTGCAGCCAAATCCAACATGCAGACTCTTTCTACAGAACGACGACTTATTTTAGTGTTTTAACAGACTGGAAAGAGAATCAGGAACAGTGGAGTCATGCTGGAATGAAGGAATGTTTCAGACAGTCTTCCAGGACCCCGGGTCTACAGATTCTTTCTCCTAATAACATGCTCGGCATGCTTTGGACTTGCGACGGACTCTAGTGGTTACTATTTATAGTATGACCTTGGCAAAACACAATTAATGTTGTGCTGTCTATTTAAAGCGGCTAATGCGAGTTACAACAGACCACTAGGTTAAATGCATTAGAAGGAAAAGAAACATGCAGACATCCCATTTAAACGGTATTTACTTCTCTAAAAGGTGTTTTACAGTTCACTACTGGAGCTTCCTGCATCACAAACTACAAATGCAGCGTGGTTAAGGACGAGCTGGAGGATGGTCTCACAACAGGAGCAGAATGAGTTAAGCCACACATGCACGGCTGTGAGGCCATTCTTAATGGAGACATACTCTTTGAGGAACTCTGTGAGGGTGAGATGTTGGAGTAATGCCGTGCTCTCCTCCTCTGCTGACTGGGCCCGCTTACGGAAACCCAGAACCCTGCATGGATATAAAACACCTCAGACACTCAGGCTGCTGCTGCTAATGAACATTCAAAAATTATCCGGTGGACTCGGATGTTCGAGGTGAAGAAATTCTACTTCTAGGTCGAGCGACGTGGGTCGAGGTTTTGTAGACGTGTAACTTCAGTAAATGTCCTAAAGACCAAGTTCGCTAGTTTTTTCAACAGGTTTGCAGTGGTCTCTAGTATAAATGACTGCCTCGTGAGTCTATCTCTGTGGGAAAAAAAGCTCTGGTGCTCCTGTTTCAGCAGCTAACAGTGAGTCTGAGCACAGGTGAGAAGATAGCAGGATTTGGTGTCTTATTTCCTAATATCCGGACATCTCGTCTGTGATTGGCCAACAGCAACACACCTCTACCACCAACTGATTTTTATTTCCACAAATAACAAAAGCCTAAAGGAGGTCTGCTGTGTTGTGGAGTTGCTAATGCTAGCGGTTAGCTTCAGCTAGCCGAGAGGCGCTCTGCTGTTTCCTGCTCGATGCATCGACAACGGCTTTCCCTGTCGCCATCCAAGATGGGCGAGTCCATCTACACGAATGTTACGACGCGACTCTGTTTCCTAATCCGATCTTTTCCCCGTTTATTTTCTTGTGGTGGCTAGTGCAGGAAATTGGTAGAAGATTATTTTCACATTTAGGCTTAGCCTGCATGTGAAACTCGGATGACTCGATCCTATTTCAAAAATAACAAGTAAAAATGTTTTTGTTTCTGTGAATTTGGTCTTTCCCGTAGGTTCTGTTAATTTCAAAAATCTCGTTCACTTTTCTTTAATAATTCTGCTGTGGTCCCTAGAAGGAGTTGTTTTCTGTAGAAAAAAGCTCTGGCTCTTCTGTTTCGGGGGGTAGAATGTTGTCAGAGGAGTAGAGGCAGAAAACAACAGGATTTCGAGCCTCGATATTCATAATATGCAGACATCTCGCCTCTGATTGGCTAACAGTAACGCGACTCTTCCCCTACTTGCATTGGCTCTTGGGTAAAAAACGCAAAGCCAAAAGTTGCGTTTTCTCCACCAATAAAACAACTCTGAATGCGCTCTGCCATGTGGTGGAGTTGCTAATGCTAAAAGTTAGCTTCTACTAGCAGAGATGTGCTCTGCTCTCTCAGCCGCTAATTCAACGCAGCTTTTTGTGGTTGCAAATTTTATTGGAAAACTCAGGCCAGATGCTTCCGAGACACATCCAGTGTTAGCCAGTTCTTGCTTAATGAAGACGTTAAAAATAGCGCCACCTAGTGGTTTGAGTTTGAACTTCACCACACAAAAGCGATGCAGTAAATGCTTTCAGGCAAATTTTCAATGAAAAATGAATACACTGCATTTAAATATAAATTCAGTGTCATAATACAAAATATAGCAACATTTCTATATTTTATCAATACTTTCTATTCTGCATGCATTTGAACCTCAAAGTGACAGATGGGATTTCTAAAACACCAACGTTTACGCTGTTTCTCAGTGAACGAGACATTGAATGCGATAATGAAGTGACTTGCTGTGACTACATATTATTATATGTAATAATAATGGGATCGGATATGATTTAATTAATATTATCTACAGTTTTCCTCTGTTAGCAAAGCATTGTTGTTAGCAAATGAAGCAATTATGCACACAATGAATTTATGAGGCAGACGGATGAAACCAACAGCAAAATGGACATGAAGAGAGGAACAACTAGCGTTACATGACAAATGTTAATCCAGAACCACTGCTTAGATCTACGCCCAACAAAAACGCTGCAACATGAAGCTCGGGATCATTGATGTGGTCCAGAAATTAGCATGAAATTTCCGAAGTCTGACATCCAAGAAGGCCCAGAGTTTTTCGCTGTTTACTCAGGGTTATTTTGAGGTTGCAATCAGAGAATACCCTCGTAACAGGAAGCATGTCATATCCTGCACACTAAGACCCTGGGCAGCTCAAAACCAGAGACACAAACACTCAACCCCCCACGTGTGTATACACATCTCCATCTAGGCTGGTCTGTTTCTGCCGGCCGACGCCGATGCCTATAAAAGGAGAGAGACCCACACGCGAGCTGGTTTTACCTCTTTTCTCTTGGTGCTTCAGGCAGGTTGAGTGCTCTCTGCTCTGTAATGGAGAATAAAAATGGCAAACTAAATATTAAATCATAAATACGTGTCAGTATTTGTAAAGACTTTGTTAAAGAAGTCAAACAGATTTCGACGTTGATGCTTAAGAGAAAAAGTCTGGATCCCACAAACCCCAGCAGAACAAGAACAAACAAGCTTTTCTCAAAAAAACAACCAGACGACAGCCGAGATGGAAAAAAAAGGAGAAAACAAAACGTGACCAAAAAGGAGCAAACCAGAAAACAATTCTTCCTTCAGATCATCCACAGGGCTGAACATTTTCCAAATCCCCAGTCCTCTACTCGTTAGTCCTTGGAATTTCATAAAATTACTTTCTGGAAGATCATTATTTCATTATTTATAGAAAAAAAATAATTAAGTTTGGAGAAAGGTCTGTTTTCGACTGCTGGACGACTGAAAATACGTCGTTGAGCGAGACAGTGGTCTTGACCCGACCGTGAAGAATCAAGCGTGACACAGAGCTGAACAACTAGGACAACAATCCAAGCACTGACAGATTTGGCTGACAGATTATTTGTGTAGCATTATGAAACGCATGCTCCAATTTTATTGGTTTAGAGCAGTACGCCCTCCGAACTTTGGAGGGCGCTGCTGCTATAAAAGGGGAGCTCTTCCGGACAGATTATTTGGATCACGATCCGTTTTCAAACCTAATAGGTTTACTATGACAAACTGTCAAACTAGCATTTTAATTGTGCAGCTCTTGATTTTGTCCCAGAAAAGGAGCCAAAAGATGATGAGTTGTTTACCGCAGCCAACCAGCCCGTGGAGTTTCGGTCGAAGTTCGACTGTTTTTGTACTTACTAACTTGGTGGAGACGAGAGAGGGGTTTAGAGAGAGATAACGCCTGAAGAAGAGAACGGCCGCTGCTGCCGAACGGGCCATCTACGTGGTGATAGTGGTGAAACATGTCAGCTTCGGTTAATTTATGACACGCGTTTGGGTTTCCCTTCATTAAACATGTTTGTCACTTCAGCTGGCTCTTGGGAACAAAGAGGTTAAAGTTTACCCACCTTCTTCCAGGTCGGTGATAGCCGCGTCTCGGTTAAGCAGCGGCCGTGACGGCTTTGCTGTAGGGGAGGAGCAGGAGTAGGAGCGCAGGCGGACCTCCGGATCCTCCACATGCTGGATAAAAACACACACCAGAAGAAGATATCCAAACATCAGAATCCTGCAGGGCAAACAGGCCCATGTGTGACCTTTTGTCCACGTTATTGAGCTGTTGACAATGTGAGCTAATGGCTCTTTGCAAGGTTGGCCGAGTCTGGTGTAAACTCTTAGTGGAATAAAAAAATATAACGGAAGTTTAAGTTAAAATAGACCTTGTGTTAAAAATAAACCTCAATGAAAACCTGTAAAGTTAAAAAAGAAAAACAACAGTTTGATTTATTGCTTGGAAATCATCTTTCTTGTACCGTGTTGCATTTGTAGGCGCTGTCAGAGTGTGGGAGGTTAAAATCAGGTGAAGTGTCGAAGGAGACCCTCTCTTCTCCTGAGCTGGACCGCAGAATGGGCCTCTGCTTTAAAGATGAGTACGGGTGCGAAAGTCCCAGTATGTCCTCCTCCCAGCTGTCACACTCCAGACTGGGACTGTTTACACACAGACACACCGGGATTATGACAGAACGCTGAAATACTGAGTGAATGCTAATTTTGTACATTTAGTGTCGGACTAACCAACCCCCCCAAAAAATCCCAGAAGTCTTTTTCTTCAGATTTTGAATATACAGTGATCCTTCACTACTTCGCGGTTCGTTTATCGCGGATTCACGACTTCGCGGATTTTTTCTTTGGAGCCTTATTCAAGGGAAATTTGCCGATTTGCGGTATTTTTCACCGATTCGCGGTACTTTTCTATGTGAAATATCAAGAAATTCCTGGTTTTTTCCATCAATTTCATCATAAAATGCACTTTTTGTAATAAAACTATAAAAAAAACCAAGTAAAAAATTTTTTTTCTTGCGTTTTACCCACAAAAAGAGAATGTGATCATACGATAATTCAATATAGTACTGTACTGTAAATATGGTGTCCCTACTTCGCGGATTTTTTCTTTGGAGCCTTATTCAGGGAAATTTGCCGATTCGCGGTATTTTTCACCGATTCGCGGCACTTTTCTATGCGAAATATCAAGAAATTCCTGTTTTTTTCCATCAATTTCATCATAAAATGCACTTTTTGTAATAAAACTATAAAAAAAACCAAGTAAAAAAAATTTTTTCTTGCGTTTTACCCACAAAAAAAGAATGTGATCATACGATAATTCAATATAGTACTGTACTGTAAATATGGTGTCCCTACTTCGCGGATTTTTTCTTTGGAGCCTTATTCAGGGAAATTTGCCGATTCGCGGTATTTTTCACCGATTCGCGGCACTTTTCTATGCGAAATATCAAGAAATTCCTGTTTTTTTCCATCAATTTCATCATAAAATGCACTTTTTGTAATAAAACTATAAAAAAACCAAGTAAAAAATTTTTTTTCTTGAGTTTTACCCACAAAAAAAGAATGTGATCATACGATAATTCAACATAGTACAGTACTGTAAATATGGTGTCCCTACTATCGCGGATTTTCACTTATCGCGGCCAGGTCTGGAACGCGTCTACCGCGATAAACGAGGGATCACTGTATATAAATAAATACAATTTCAATGCTTAAAAAAACTTGTACGAACAGAACTTGACACAAAGGGGCAGCAGTAGCTCAGGTGGTAGAGCGGGTTGCCTCATGATCGGAGGGTCATGGGTTCCATTCCAGCTCCTGCCAGGGGTATCCTGCTGTTGAGTCCTTGGGCAAGACACTTCACCCAACTTGCCTGTGTTAGTGGTGGTCAGAGGGGCCGACGGCGCCAAAAGGCAGCTTCGCCTCTGTCAGACCTCCCCAGGGCGGCTGTGGCTACAAGTAGCTCACCATCACTAGCAGTGTGTGAATGTGAGAGTGTGTGAAAGCGTCTTTGGGTGTCTAGAAAAGCGCTATATAAGTTCAATGCATTATTATTATTATTATTAAAGTCAAAATGTTAGAACTACAAAAATTGTCCTCATAGATTTATAATTTTTGAAAAACATTTAGACAGTTGCAGTTTAGGGACTGGGAACCCACAGGATCTGCTGGAGGTTTCTTCCTGTTTACAGGAAGTTTTCTTCTCCACTGTTGCTACGTGCTTGCTTAGTATGAGGATCGCTGTCAAGTGTATGACACGACAAGTCAGTGACTCGATGCAACCTGCTGGGTTCTCTTACACTGGAAACTTAACTAAAAGGCATTATGAACTGAGCTCAATGCACTGATGAGAAGGTTCACTTGGAATGTTTACTTTGTAAAGTGCCTTCAAATGACTTGTTGTGATTTGTTGTCGTATAAATGAAAATAATTGACTTGAAACACTTTCTTCAAACATAAAATATTCTGTAATAAAAAGTTAAGGTGTTTAAACTAGTCGGCATAACCCGACTCAAAGGGACAAATTTCATTTAAATGCTATGTGGATTATTACGGTTTACTATAATTCTCACTTTAGATAGTTGTGATAAATTTATTTAAATGAATTTCACATCACATAGAAAGCTTCAGCTAAAGTTTCGTCCTACCTCAGGCTTCGGTTTGCCTCCGTCAAGACGCATCCTCTGCGTCTCAAACCTGGAGAGACTGACGAACACATCTGACGCCTCTGCGCTCCCTCAAACAAACGGCTGGAGGAAGCCAAGGGGGAGGAAGGAAAGGACGGAGAGGCGGGAGACATGCAAGGGTTTGCCTCCCTGTGATTGTCTGAGAAAGGGCCTTGGCTTCCCCTCGGGCCACGATGCAGCGGCGAACGGTTCTGGGAGCAGTTCCCCGAATCAAAGGGCGTCGAAGAGAAGGAATCCCAGCAGGACATCCCGACAGGGGACGCGGGGCTGACCTCCTCCTCCTCTCCTGGAGAGCGGTACTTAATGTCAGAGTCATCCACCTGAGCAGAAAAGTGAGACAGCAGCTAGAATGGTTCTGCTCTACTTGCTGCTCCACATGCAGAACATTTGACCCTTTATAAGCTAAGTGTGATATTCACATGGTATAATAGTTACACTTTAGAGAGTTTGTAGCTGAAGGACAGAAATAAAACCACGTCCTGACTCACCTGGTCGACCAGCATGGCGTTGGCGAACACTTGGTCTTTGCCTTGAATCATCGCCGACAGTCTGGCAGCGGCAGCCAGAGTTGGGGACGAGGCCTGGCTCTCCTTGATGCACGGACTTTTCTCTGCACACAGAGCCAGTGAGCCACAGAGAGGGGATTTTTCTATATTACATTTGGTTTCCACGGCAACGCCAAATAACTTTTCACAAACACGGGAAGTTACATAGACATCCTGGGCAGTTGCAGGTCATTGTTCAGTACCATGGCTCTGTTTATGTGCGCGTGCATGCATGTGTGTGTGTGTGTGTGCATGTGTGCATCTGTGTGCGTGTGTGTGTGTTTCTTTGCTGGTAAGTGCTGTGCATGGACATCTGCAGGCATGATTCTTCCACACCCTGCATTCTGATACCGACTGGCTGACTGGAAATAACTCCTGGTGAACACACAGCAGCATTGAGAGGAACTCCTCAAACACAGTGAACTCACTGTGAGCTGCAGCCTGGTTCTGCTTTGAGACGGGGGGGGGGGAACACTCCTGCTCTCAAAACACACACATGCACGCACGCACACACACACATACAAACACACACACACGCATGCACATATGCAAGCATCTCCCTCAGGTTCGTCACTTTGCACAAAACTCTGATTCTTCACAACACAATTGCAAACAAAAGGGAGGCACATACACACAGACAATGGGGGTGCATGATCGCCATAGCAACGTGCCCAAAAATAAGCCTTTTAGGAGTCGTCTGCAGTATTAGGATGTTTATTGTCAGGACTTATCGGAGCCAAATCGACTACTAAAGTTCTGAGTAAACGCAGAAATGTGAGCGTGTCCCTTTTAAACACGCGTGGGCAAACTCCAACTGCATCACGTGAACGATCAAAAGGTTCAAGTGCTCTTGTCCGGGTCAGAAAAGACTTGAAACTCTACCGTAGGAGGAGTTTTTGATTAGTTTTTTTAAGCTTCTGTAAAGTTCCTGGAAAGTCTCCACAACATTATTTATCATTAAATGTGGTTTAATTTTAGAGTCAGAGGCTTATTTCTACAGCTTGTGTGGGTTGTTGTAAGACTGGCTCTCTGCTCTACCAGCATTTACTTGTACTGGTTGAGCTTCTTCCATTAGTATACCTTTACAGAAATGAAATCTACGCTGTATTTGTGCATTTCTTCTCAGAAAGGAGTCTTCAAGCATTATTTCTGAGAATCTAAATAGCTATTAACATTTATAAATTATCATATAAGCATCTGAAATATTAGGTTCTTAAAGGGACTTTACGAAGTTTTGAGTTTTTATGCTCGTGATCGCCCCCTCAGGCCAAAAGTGTAACGGCAGCTTCAATAGTAGGCTCGTGCACGAGGCGCGCATGCTGTACGTGCACACTCCTTAACGAAAATAACAGCTGAGACAGTCCCCCGTGTGTGTGTGTGTGTGTGTGTGTGTGTGTGTGTGTGAGTGTGTGTGTGTGTGTGTGTGAGTGTGTGTGTGTGTGTGTGTGAGTGTGTGTGTGTGTGTGTGTGTGTGTGTGTGTGTGTGTGTGTGTGTGTGTGTGTGTGTGTGTGTGGCCCGGAGGACAGAGGACAGGAGAACACGCAGCTAATTAATTAAATAATTTGGTTCTGTAGCTTTCTCTTCAGCACAGCCGACAAAGGTTTATGATGGGTCAGTCCTCCTGCATGCTCAGATCATTCCCTTCCCTCGCTTGAAAAATTGTTCCAAAATGAAAGTTGAACCCACATCTTTTTTATCTGTGAATTCAACGCCGTTCGGCGAGTCTCAAATAAAAATTTGGGCGTCTTACTGTAAAAAAAATATACCATTAAATTAAAAAAGAAACTCTAAATGAACTATGTTCACATCCAGAATCAAACCCAGGTCTTCTGCATGAGAGTCCGACGTCTTACTAGGTGAGCTACACTCTAGTAACATTCACAGTATCTATAACGTTTATATCCTTGATGACAGCTGAAACAACGTCAAACCAAAGAACGGTTCGGAGTGAAAATGGCTATTTTGTTGCTAATTTGCAGGAAATATCTAGAAGAAAGTTCTACAGAAAGTAGCTAAGGGTCCTCAGAAATGTAGCTAGCTTTGTCACTAGGCGTTAGGAACAGCGACAAAGTGGCACTGCCTCTCTCTCTGCTGCTAAAGCTACGGATAGCAAATGCTACGGGCGATGCCTGAGCGTGAACGCGCATGAAGCAGCCTGCTCGACCCGAGCATCTCTCTTTTTCTGTGATTTTACAGAAAAACAGGCAATCACAGTAAAAATGCCAGGGCTCATTCTACAGGACCAGGGCATTGCAGGAGAATGTATGAAGAAGACATTTATTATTTCTATACACGTTTTGGCTGTCAAACTTCCATAATGTCCCTTTAAAATCTCCCTCCTTAAGAAATGAATCCTTAATTGGTCAGCATTCAGAGAAAAGAGAGGTACAAAAAATGTGTCTGGTGTGACTTAGTGAGGTATAGCAAAAAAAAGAAGAAGTGTTTTCTCAATTAAAAATAGAGAACGTCAGTCAGAAACTGTTCAGCCAACATATTAACTCTAACAGAAACTCAAACATAACGAAAGAATAGAATAACTTACAGCAGAAAATATCTACCTTCTAAGATATTCATTCATGCGTTAGTTTTTAGTTTTACTTTGCTGAGAATTTACTAAAAAAATAACAAATCTGATGACCTTAACAGCTGAGGAAGAAGTTGCCACACGACCTCAGGTATGATTCTTTTAATAACAGTCTTATTTTACTAAATCTAAATCACAGATCAAATTATGCCAGTGGGTAAAAACACGCACACGGCATCGCTGCTTCCAACAAAACTCCTTAAGGACCGTTTAAAACAAAACTCTGTAATCTTCTTCATCCATCAGCAGGAGCTGCCAGAACAGTCGAGCAGAAGAAGAGAGAATCCGCAACAGAGAATAAATCCAGCAACAATTGGCTGTGCTTCCTGTAGGCAGCAAGTCGCATAAATCTGAGAGGCAACAGCGAGCTAGGCAGACGCTGATGAGGACACCAGATGATTCCCGTCACATCCACATTAAAACTAAATGAATTAACTCCAGGTGAGCCAGCGGGGCAGAAATAGAGAGGAGTCCTCCCTGAAGTCCTGACTCTGGAACAGAAAACCAAATCCTGGACCACACTTATCTGCACCGAGTCATATTGGACATTTTATTTTGTCCAGCACCTAATCCACATGGGGGGTCAGGGCCTGGATGTGGGTCAGACTGCTGTTTCAAAGTAGATACATACCCCCACCCATCAAGAACCTGACAGACAGGCTCAATAGTTCAGGTTCTGGGCTCGGTCCAAAGCCACAGCTGGCTGCCATGGGCTCAATTATTCACACACCTCTGACTCATACACACCGTCTCGGTGAACATTGCTGTCATGCAGTGAGATCTGTGTTTAACGTTAGTTAACTGGTGGAATAAGAAGCAGAGAGTTCGTATCCCCGAGAGGTTAGAGTCGCTGTCTTTGTGGCAAGGTGTTCGAGGGTTACTATTGCAAACTGGTCTTTAAGCCTCTGTGTAGCTTATGAAACTTTGTTGGAGCTCTGAAAAATTGCCAAAAACAACCCTATAATAAAGCCCTGCAATGGAAAGATCACCCCCCCCCCCACACACACACACACACACTCGGCCAGGACATGAATATCATATGAGCTCCATGCTGATTGGCCAGTTTAGCCCAGCTTTCCTCTGGATGGGTAACCATTGCGTAGTATTGGAAAAACGTAGTAAGCTGCTAAAAGTCGATGTTTTCACGGCTGTGCAGAGGTGCAGTTTGAACATTTCTTGTCTCAGAAGCACAGCGTTGCGTTGCTCTGCTAAATTTACACATTGGGTCTATTTTTTATACACTACAAGATCTCTGCACTGGGGGAGAGTAGCATGGGTGGAGTTGTGGACAAGTGAGGACGAGAACAAGGACCACAAGCAACAGATCTGTCTAGCATTCAGTCAAAGTCTGGATATTCCCAGTACGTCCTGGACTGTGAGTGCGCTAACATTCTTCTTTATTACGTTTGTTCTGCGTTGATTTTCTGACTCTGTTTTTTATATCAGTTCTTTTCTAAACACGCAGAAGTAGAGCTTGATTTTGCCTTTTTACTGACAGTTCTGTTGTTCTGTTTTTATGTTCGGTGATAAAAACAGAACAACAGAAATATAAAGGAAGCGATCAAAATAAGGAGACGTGAACCCATGAACATGAACAGAGAAAAAAGGATTGTACACACCGGACAACTCATGGGACACTGGTGTGGGCAGTAGAGGGCGACGTCGTTCTCTACTGCCCACAGATACTCGTACACGGAAGTGTCGCCACCAACGTCACTGTGACGAATGCAACAGTACTAGTCAAAACAAGCTCCTCGTGATTTTTATCTTGAGAGGCTCTATAGAAATGATATTTTCTTCTTCTACTACTTCTCTGTGTGTAGAAAAGAACCGATGAAAAATGGAATTCTTTCTTGTTTTCCTCTTGTCCAACTAGGAGGTTAGCAGTTGCTTAAGCTAGCATTAGCAATAGTTCACGCTAATGTTAACATTAGCTCAGGCTAGCAGTAGTTTGGGCTAGCATTAGCTGTAGCTCTGGCTAGAATTAGCAGTCGCTCAGGCTAGCATTAGCAGTAGCTCTGGCTAGAATTAGCAGTCGCTCAGGCTAGCATTAGCAGTAGCTCTGGCTAGAATTAGCAGTAGCTCAGGCTAGCATTAGCAGTAGCTCTGGCTAGAATTAGCAGTAGCTCAGGCTAGCATTAGCAGTAGCTCTGGCTAGAATTAGCAGTAGCTCAGGCTAGCATTAGCAGTAGCTTTGGCTAGAATTAGCAGTAGCTCAGGCTAGCATTAGCAGTAGTTTGGCCTAGCATTAGCATAAGCGTGGGCTGGTGTTGTTTTGCAGTTAGCATTCACACAACTAATGTTTAAATATTGCAGACGTTGAAGTGGGTTTGGGCGTGCCGTGTGCCTACCGTTACGATGGGTAAACCAGCTTTAGTCAGAATCGGTTATCCATTACAACATTCCTAATATGCATAGTGAAATGGTAAATGGCCTGTATTTGATATAGCGCCTTCCAGAGTCCTGGAACCCCCCAAGGC